AATCAATATTGGATAATGGTAGGTAACAGGGTGCGGCGTGGCGAGCCTCCCGAGGAGGCAAAACACCCTTACCACAGTTCGAAATGTAAAACGTTAGAGTGACTTTTGAACCCATGTTTGCATCCACCACCATCGAGTGAGATCTAATAAGGAGCTGAATGGGGGGGTTAAGGATGATTCGAGAGTCGAAGGTAAGGGTGCGTGAAGGCTGTGTCGACGACCTGCGAGAGTGAAAGCGTGTTCCGGGGAGACGCCGTCGCCCGCCGCCCGCCAAGCCGCACGCCGCCCGCCCTGCGCGGCTTTCGCTACCGTTCTCACGCTACCGCCTAGCTCCTTGTTTTTATTTTTTAAATTACTACTTGATTTTTTAAATCTAATATTTTCAAAATTTCTATATTTTTATAAGTGAATTGATGCACAAAAAGCATTTTTCTGCATCTGATTGTTATTCAAAGCGGTGCGCATTAGGCGAGTTTTGCTCAGTTTGCCTAAATATCGGCCTTCAAATTGACGAAAAACTTGTTAGAAAAGTTTGCAAGGAATTGAATTTCCCGCGACGACGCGACGATCATCAATATAGTGCGGGCTCAGATCGGGAGCACGGTCAGGGCGCTCGGCGGCCGCTCGCCAAACTACGGAAGTAATGAACTTGAATGCATCGCCGAGTCGCGCCGCGACGCCGCCACTGTCCCACTCGCATCTAGCTAGCGCGCACTAGGCGCGAGCGTGACGCACTTGCTGCACTCGCTGTCAAATTCGTCCGCATTCTCCATCACGGGCTGCTTTCGTCGTCGATGCGTTTATCGGAACGAGACGCGAATATGTGTGTCGATTGCATTCTCGGCGTCGTAAAAGTGCATCTAGGTCGGTCGGCGTAGCGGCGCGGCGAGCGGTTAGTGCGAAGCGCTCCGCCGCTAGACGTGGGGCAGGTCGGAGCTGTGCGATGCGCTGCGCCCGGCCGCGGCCCGCGCGCTAGCCCAGCCGGCGGCCGCGCGCCATGCGCCCGCTGTGCCCGCCGAGCCCGCTACTCTCAGTGCCAGCCATCGGCACCATCACATGCCGCGCGACAACCGCCTCAACGTCCGCCGGTCAACAACCCTCGTTTGTTACCAATAACAAAACTAACAATTAACGTTTAAATCAAGAATGCGTTAAACAAAGTTTTTTGTAAGTATCCAAAATGCTAGATTTTTGCGAATATTTGATGCTTACTTTTCTTAGCTAAAACATTGATTCCTTAATTAATTCTGCATTTATCTACTTTAAAAATTAAAAACCCTAAAAAATACTATATTTTTAAGGTAAGGATTGCTCGCATTCTTTGAGAAATAATAACATACATTTCAATTTTTTCAATGATAATTTAAAGTTTAGGGTATATATTTCCCACATTAATCGTGACAAAGTCAGGAAATTAAGAGCTCAAATAAGTCATCGAGGCAATTTTTTTTAAATTACTTTCTCATGGTGTTATTATTTGATATTAGCTGACGTATCAATACCGCATCAGCGGTAGGCAACATACGGTCTTTATCTAGTCGGTACTCCGTCTATTTGTAGTGGAAACATTGGCGTATTAAATTATTATTAGACTGCAAGGTTAGTTCCCGTTGCACACTTGCATGTGCAAATTTCCTTAGCAATATCATGGACAAATCGAATTACTTCTTGTTTTTAAAGGTAAGATTTCATATCTTTTATACAATCTCCTTAAATCTTATCTATTTTTTTACCACGGTAAAAATACCAAAGAAATATGACAAACTATTTTATTAAATAAATAAAATTTTAACTGCCTTTTATGGCACAAATTATTCTTCGATTGCATAAATATTATAAATATGATAAAGTTGTTCCTATTAAAATCCTTTTTAGCTATTTATCATGTTATTGTTAAATTATTCAGATTATTAAATTTAATAGTGCTTCAGACTTTGTTCATTAAAATAGAATAGTTATGGATATAAAGAGATCATAAAAATAAAATTGTTTAAAACTTTGAAAACTTTATCAGTCATTTTAATTTTCTTACTATTAATGATCGCGTCGTTGTATTATAACTTCTATTTATACGCTTCATAAGGTACCAAATACCATGAAAATATTAATATTTTATGCAATACCCCCATACTATGTCAAGCGAATTAATATAAGAAAAAATCATTCCATAACCAAAAATAAATTACACAAAAAATTACTATAAATAGTTTTCATTATATTTTAAATGAATGAGATAAAGTAAAATAATGAATGAAATAAAATATACACACTTGCAATAACCTTACATAATGTGTGAATAAAAAAAACGATCGCGTGTTGCCATGTTACCGCATCAGTACAGCCGACGTCAGCGCAGCGCGGCGCATAGGGCAAGTTCACGAACACACCAAGGCCTAACTTCCTGATGCGCGCGCGCCGATATAGCGATATCGCGATGCATTTCATTATCATAACCGTAAAGTTCCACTGCCGTGACACTTGTACCTACGTATATTGTTGTCTCTACTATTTTCAAAGAGGGTAAAAAGGATGACAATATGAATTAATACAAGTACAATATCCACAGTGACACCCCATTAACGCATAACAGAATGATACTAAACATTTAATATCGATAAGATATACAGTACCGTGAACAAATGAATTACATAATTTAAACTCTGATGCGACATTATAATACAATCATGCGCAATAATTTAAAAAAAAGGCTTATCCGCGATTTGCATAAGAATTTATTCTACGTTTTTGGCGATTTTTTAGTTTACTATTTTGTTTAGCAATTAATGCTTAGTATGTAGGTAACGTTACACAAACTTCTTTAAATATTACGATTACATTTTAGTCGCCAAAAGATTAAAGTGTAAAAAATACACATATTAATTATTTCCACCGGCCGTTAGGCTTAACTAATCATATTACACAGTAGTAGAGTTCCAAAAATATATTATATTTTAATACATAAAAGGAAACTTAAAAAATATTACCAATGAAGATAATTACGAAAAATGTATGCTACTTAAATTAAGGAGTTTTACGTTTTACTTTTGTTTTTACATATAAATAAACAAAAGACAACTATATTTTTTCTCTAATAAGATTTCCAAGGAACGGTTCATGCTAAGGTAAAGTGCAAAATCTCTATGAGGTAGAGTTCGCAGATCGAGTCGCGTGCTATGTTAATGTGACGCAGGTTATGCAACCCGGCCGGTCACGTGCGACTATCTGCCCTACAGATGCACTTATTGTGTTAATAAAGACATTATAATTGACGACACTGCTAACTAAACGTAATTATATTGAACTTGATACATTAAACATTTAATTTATTGATAAAATAAAATTTTAATAAGTATGTCTTAATATGTTTGTTTCACATAGCTAACGTTTTTATAATTAAATAACAATAAATTGTTAATTAACAATGGAATTTAAAATTACTGTGTATTCAGGATTGTAATGTGATAATTTGATATAAAATGGTTATAGTTTAAAATGGTTGTTATTAAAATTATTTTCATTACATATTTGATCTGAATTTCAATTCTTTGCATGATCGCCAAGGATCTTTCTTTTGTTATTTTTTTTTTGTTTTGATGAGACAAATAATGTTTATAACTTTTAATGATTTTATATATCATTTCAAAATTTTCTCCTATGAAGATCGAGCGAGTGAGATTCCGTTTAAAATTTATAATTTTTGTGCAATTTAATTGAATAAATGGGCAAGGTTATTAAAATATTGTAAAGATTGGGATATAATTTTTTTTAAGTTTAATTTTAGTAAGAATGTATGGAATTATATTTACAACTATCTATATATATAGAAAACTATCCTGTGGTGTCAATTAAAGAGATTTGTTGTGGAATCAAGATTTTAAAGTCGTATTATATAAACATGTTATCATATTCCCCATAGGTATATCTACATCTTGCTCTAGCGTTCAAGGTTATTTGTATTGATAAACGATGAACTAAGAAAATTATATTGTTTAAACGGCAATAGATGAAATTCTATTATTTGTTGGAAATTATTTAACTTCAATCTTTAAGAGACGTAAGATGAAATATAATAAACAATATTTAACTTTAAATAACAAAATAACACAATGAATTAAGTAATAAAAATATTTTCTAGTTTAATTTACGTGCTTGAGAAAAAAAAGAAAAAGTGTTAGATGTGATTGGTACAATATTATGGAATAGTTTATTAAAATAGTTTTTTAACTTACAATTAAATGTGATTTTTATTTTTTTATGGTACAAGCCTAACACAAGTAATATTTTTCATTTAGAAATATTCATAAGTAAGTTAATATTAAGCGGCACAGGACCGAGCATTGTGGCAATCGATGGGGGAGGCCTACGTCCAACTGTGGACAAGTTTAGGCTGAGTATGATGATGATGATGATGAAGTTAATATTTATTTTCTGACTTTTCCGGTGCAAGGTAACTGATTTAACCAAAAAGTATTATAACTCGTTTACCAATCGATATATATTTGTTGTAGGCAATGCTATAGGGTTTCGATCTATGTTTCTTTCCTCTGAGAATGTAAATGTTTGTGTTTCACACCGATTATTACACACGATTGCGTAATGTTGAACATTGTTGGTTGTTTAACGATGCATTTTGTGCTTTATTTACATTTCGGTACGCTACTAAAGTTGAAAAAAAATCAATCGAATCAAAAATAATGTTGTTTTATTAAAAGTTATTTTTCTATTTTTACGGAAGGTTTTTGTTTAATTATTTATATTTTTTACAGTTATATCATTAGAATATTATGTACTTTTGTAAGCGAGACTCGATTCCGTGTTCAACGTGCCAATTTGGCAAATATTCAATGCTGTACTTTGAAGATTTAAATCAATTTATAAAAACTGCTCTAAACTACCATATTGAACCTTTTTCCAATACCTTTTTTAATGTTAAAAATGGTAATATATTTTTTTCTTTCCAGGTACACATAATTACAATAAACAAAAAGAAAATCCTGAAATAGGGAGCTATTTATTTTCAAAATGAGACTGGTAAGGATTTACTTTCTATATCAGTAATTTTTATTCAAAAAAAATATACCAAATTTTAAATTCTCTTTGAGAATAAAATATGTTAGAAATAAATTAAATTTTGCGGAAAATATAAATAGGCATACAAGGCAGTCGGTGCGCACTGGAAAGTGCGCACTTATCACAAAACTGGGTCAGTAGTGGCACCGCCCATTTATCGAACAGTACTCTTCGACTGTTTTTAGCTAAAGTAAACCCTTTGCCCCAGACCTTACGACTCAGACTCTATTGTTACTTTAAGAGTGCAGATGGAAAAGGGTTAAATGCAGTTCGTTTGCATATTTTCGAGAATCCAAATTTATTCGTTGCCTGACCTATTATTTTGCATAAAAATACTTTGAATTAACATTATTCTTTTACTTTTAACCTATGACATGCCACAATTCGCTCGCGAAATAACATCAAAAAAGGATTTAACTAATATCGTGCGGTAACTTTCCATTTCAACGGATAGTTGTAGATTGTAGGTAGCTAACATCGACCAAGATAATACAATGAATATGTAGAGACGTATGTAAACAAAACCTCAGTCTAGTCGAGTGACCATCAACACTAATATAACTAATACAGTGTCGCTCGCCACAACGCGGAAATGATAAACCAACAATATGTCTCGTCGAACAACAAGCTAGTTCCTCTTCAACTGTTTTTGAAACTTATTTATATTATTATTTTGTTCAAAAAATATACATTAATGATGCATATTTTGAAAATTAGGCAAAAATCATCGTAAAAGTAACATAATCAGTACGCTTTATTTGGATGTTTATATTTGGCTTTGAAACTAAAAAAGAAGAAAGTGTTTTATCCTTCTAATCTAATTTCAAACTTATTAGCACCATCTGGACATCACTCAAATTTAGAGTTCTATTCTAGAATATGAATATTTTTTACAGTCAACAAGCGAAGAAATTCCGAGCACGACTGTGGTCGGCCGCACCGGTAGCCCTGGCGGTGGAGGTGCTGCATCGGCCGCAGCAGTGGTCGGGACCGGAGCTTACGATGTGACGAGAATGAGGGAGGAGGAGTTTGAACGGCTCACTGTATACATAGTGCCCGACGTGCCGTGTGAGAGAGGGACACACAACAGAGCAGAGAAAACTTTACCCAGAAGCCTCGCACTAAGACCTTCCGTAGTGCTGTCGACACCTAACACACCGGTAAGAGAAGTGAAGATATCTAACAAAGATATGGCAAGTTACAAACCAACTAACATACTAGTTCACCAGATTGTAAGCGACCAACTTTAGCTATCCTTATTCCCAATTACACCAAGTGTAGAATATATGCTTCTACGTCCTTAGCTGCTGTTGGCTGACTTTGTAGCATCGGGAATAAAATTTGGTTCATTAATCGTTAGTTGTATTATAAAATTTACATAAGCAATTATTACAGACCGAAGGAGTATGGAGTACCGGCGTTATTCCCCGTGGCACTCGCTTCGGCCCGTTCGAAGGCACCCGAACGCCAAACAAACCTAACGACAAAGTTTCCTGGCGATACTATTGGAGGGTGAGTTTCATATAATACTATCAATATTAACCGCAAATATTTATGCTCTGCTTATTTAAATATTCTATCCCCAATTCAAACAGGGTTAAGGCTTCTAGTTGTAAATAGTGTTAATTTCCTCTCCGCAGCTTACTTGGCTAAGCGCAAAATACGAAAAACTACAACAAATAAAAGCTTTAATATAAAAATGCACAACTCTCTTCTCTAACTAACCTATTCCTCTCTATGTTGGGCCAGGTACAGGAAACTGTCAGACATCATACTTATGGAAATATTAAGGTGAGAATAGGCTTTAAAACTTTTTATATGGTGGCGGTATTTTTCCAACAAATACAATTACGATTTAGTATACCCATGTATAAAAAACGCATGCATAATTATAACTTATTAGATTAATTTTAAACTATTTTAATGATGTAAATGATGCATTGAATAAACATTACAATAAGTATTATCTTCCTCGTCTACACACGCAACTTGCATCTCGTCCTTGACTCCCGATACATCGCAAGTAGTCGCTATCAGTTGCACGCGCGTTGCAAATACTATACACGTGCCACGTGCTTATATTGCTTATGATAACATCTTCACACTACCTTTGTACATTATAGCTGTTACTAGTTTTAAAACTTCAAATTCGAAATTGTGCACAGCACAAGGACTTTCGCGATCAAAGCCTAGAAGTTTACAGTCTCTATTTAAATTTAAAGTTAAAAATCGATTTTTTCTAATTACCTTAATTTTATTCTTACAGATATTTAAGGATAGTGATTATTATTACCTGGATGGATCTGATACGAGTGTTGCGAACTGGATGCGTTACGTGGCCTCTGCCTACTCCCTCTCCGTGATGAACCTCGTGGCTTGCCAGCATCAAGAGCATATATACTTCTACACGATCAGGTAACACACAACTACAGAACTATTTACTATATCACTGTAATGTTTCAAGTATCACTTTATTTGCACATTTCCGTAATTCATTTAATCTCACTTTAACATTTTTCATTTATTTTATTTACAGAGATATTATGCCAAATGAAGAATTAATGGTTTGGTACTGCAAAGACTTTGCGACGAGGCTAGGATATGACATCGATCCCGAAAGAGCAACCTACTCCATCTGTAAGCACGCTTTTTAAATTAAAATTCTATATTCGGAGTCATTTTGGAGAAACAACAATTACTATAAAACGTTTTTCTTTCACAGGCAAAGAAGAAACTATCAAAAAAGCATATGGCATACCCCCTGCCCCAGTTCATCCCGAGATTGCATTTAACCACATGAAGTACGTGCTCGGCTTAACGAACCCTAAAGAACTCCTAGAAGCTGATATTCCCACCCGAAGAATAAAACGTGAATCTATTGAAAAGGCACACATTGAAAATTATACACCACGTGAAGATCCTCGAATTACCAATAAGAACGAAAGGACAATTATAAGAACCGATGTATCTAGTAATATTATGCATCACAAATCAACAAATGATATTCAAATGGCCAGTGAACATAGAACGATATCACCGAATGGTCTCATGCAGCCTCCATCACCAGTTAAAATGCACCACAGAGATAATCAGACTTTAATAATTCATCAACACAAAGAGAGTACATCGCATTTAGTAATACATCAACTTGATAATCCCAGATTACATGCCAACAGGTCACCAGGACAAAACATACATATGAGGGATATGCGAGGACCTTCCCCAATGTTACAACATCACCAGGACAAACTAGGAAGCAAGTCGCCGGGCCTAACGCACTGCAGCGCTCAACACTATGAACATCAACTAACACCCAATGACGGATCGGTAAGATCAGATGAAGGTTACCACAGTAATGGATATCATGACGAATTTACACCACCAGAGGATTCCAGCGATTCAGACGTAGATTCCAACTATGTTCTTGATTGCTCGAATAAAACAAATGAACCAAAAGAAACTGTCATAGTGCAAAAAATGGACCAAGATATGCACAGAAATGAATACAGAAAGGTTAAAATAAAAATGCCAAGGGCATACCAATACCAGCATCACAAGGACATGGACTGCGACAGTGAAAAAGAACTGATAATTGCCGAAGATGTAGCTAACATATCACCACAGAACTTATCTCCGCCCAGACGTGACCCGGCTACTTCCACTGTTATAGTCTTGGAGTCATCACAAAACACAGTTGTTCCTATTAACAAGCCTTATTATGAAGATGGTACAATATCTCCAACACCACAACCGGCATTCATGAGATACTCTCCGCCTGACACAAGGATATTAGAAACCATATTAACTGGTAGTAGAATCGACACAAATAACAACGATCCTAATCGCCGTCAACCTAACGCGACGCCACCACCATCGTCTCCTACTGAAATGGCATATTCTTACAAAAAGAGTCAAAGGTACGGGAACGCTTGCAGTCCTGATTCTAGTTCTAATTTAACACCCTTGCCATCACTACTGCCTTTACCACAACAACTACCGGCTCCCAACGCTACGTCAGTCTATTCATCGTCGCCGCCCCATGCCATCCCACATACGACAGAAATACGGGAAATACGAGAAATACGCGAGATAAGAGAGACTAGATATGAGAGTCACTACCCAAATTACTCATACAATTTATACTCTCCACCAAACTCTACTATTATAACGCAACTTGGATCACCACCTAGCACTTATTCCCCAACCGTGTCTTCCACTCACCAGTACGAAAGGTCACAAAGCGCTCAAAGCAATCACCACTATCCCTCGTCGACCAGCGTTATAACACTTAAAAACTGTTCACAATTGAGTTTAATACAAAACTCAAATGTCAATGGTCAACTGGTACCACAACACGGCAGCATGAGTCCGGATGGTACTTGCAGTCTCATGGGCGCCCCAATGAGTCCAAACTCTCAGTCCTCTCGCGGTTACAGAAGCCTGCCTTATCCATTAAAGAAGAAAGATGGAAAAATGCACTACGAATGTAACGTTTGCTGTAAAACGTTCGGCCAACTCTCGAATTTGAAAGTGCATTTGCGGACACACTCCGGGGAACGGCCGTTCAAATGCAACGTGTGCAATAAGTCCTTCACGCAGCTTGCGCACTTACAGAAACATCATCTCGTTCACACCGGAGAAAAACCACACCAGTGTGATATCTGCAAGAAGAGGTTTTCATCCACTTCAAATTTGAAGACACATTTAAGACTGCACTCAGGTCAAAAACCTTATGCCTGTGATCTGTGTATGCAAAAGTTCACTCAATTTGTCCATCTGAAACTTCACAAGCGGCTGCATACGAACGACAGACCATACGTGTGCCAAGGGTGCGACAAAAAATATATAAGCGCCTCTGGACTAAGAACACATTGGAAAACCACAAGCTGTAAACCCAATAATATCGAAGAAGTTTTAGCAATCACCAACGCTGCGAACACTGAATGCATGGGTATGTATTATTTTATTAAGTTCACTTGCAATTTTTTCCCAAATTTAAAAAATATAATTTTCATATTAATACACAAATCACTATATTGAGAGTGAATATTACCGACCGGAGTGCCGAGAGCGACTGCAGTGCGCTGCACTTTCTCTTCGTAGGTGAACCGCAACTTTCACTTGCGCTCTCGCTAAACGCGACCGATTTCATTTTCGCGTGCACTTTGCAGGTTCCATCGACAAAGACTGCCACGATAGAGAGGGGCACGAGGCGTACGAGGTGCATTCTGCGTCGCAAGCGGGTCTCGCAGGAGTGGGCGGCGCTCGGCTGCTGGCCGGCGAGGGCGCGCTTGGTGGACACGCTCATTCCACCACGCCACACCTCGCGCCGGGCCCACTGTCGCCGCCACACTCGCAGCACGCTCAGCACGCGCAACACGCGCAGCCCTACCGCAAGCTGCATGGGCAGGCGCAGGAGCACGAGCCGGCATCGCAGCACTACTCCTCGGCGGGTGAGACGCGTCCCAGCGTAATAGAATCGAGCCAGCCTCTCATTATTGAGTGCACCTGAGCGCAGCCGCGGCACTCTCGGACGTGAGATTCCCCGCCGCAACATGTGATTCCAGTCTTGTGATCAAACGAAAGTATTTTTATATTGAAAGAGACAATCGTGCGAGTGACACTTCGACTCGTCTCATTCAGTGGCTATGAGATTATGATATGAACTTTAATTTGTACATTTTTGTAAACTATAGTTATAAGTAGTCGTTACGTCATTAAGTACTAAGTACTTACCTTAACTTCTTACTAAATAAGTATTTCCCTAGGCTTTGAAGTACTTAAGTTAGGTTTTCGCTGCCTTTACGTTAATGCTCAATTTTTATGTCTTAGTAGAGTTCTATTGTATATAAAATTTATTTCACGTCAACTTTATTTAATTTAAATATCTATTGTGTACATATTAACCGACGTTTGCATGTAAATATTTTTATATCTGCCCGTTGACTCGGAAATAATTTTGATGAATGTTATTCTTATTTAACTTTATCTATAAATGATTTGTTTGTTGATGTTTTTGCCATCTTCAATATTTTTATCTCACCAAAGAAAGTGTTAACAACTCTCCATTATATTTGGCGTTTTTTTTATATTTCAACGCCCGCGTTTTCGAAAATATTTTTAGGCTTAGATGTTTTGGAATCAACAAACAAACGAAACTACTCAATCTCAAATTAGCATTAGGTGCCAAAAGCGCGTTTGTATGTGTTAATTTTTTTTAGGTTATTTTATGAGAAATGAATTCGTGTAGTATTTTTAAAATTATCGTTCCTATATAATGATTGGAGATGGATAGTGGAGAGTGAGCGCGTGTATGCTTCAATTTAATTCTAATGTTATTTAGAATAGAATGGACAAATCGTGTACATTATCCCTACGCTAGAACAAATGGTGCTTCACGTGGTAGAGTAGTGACGCGCGCCCTCGCGGCGGCTGATTTGCTACACAATCGTAATGTTAATACACCGACTTTACTAGTACTATATTATAAACCAAGTCTCAAGTAATTACGGTTCTCCTACTCGAAAAGGCTGAGATAAAATATGTAATGAAACGATTGGCGATTATTATTGTAGGCATTAACTGCATGGTGCATAGGTCAGTTACGTGATACAAACGATGTTCGTAACCTGTGTACGATGTAGATACGATAGCTTTTTCTATATTTCTATTGTATGAATAAGATTTTTACACGCAATTACTTATAAATTTACTGTATATTTTATACCTACTATTTACCGACAGAGATAACAATTTTTGTATTAAATTGAAGCGCAATGTTCTTAAATCATTTCAATTAATATTATGTATGTGCATGTAAAATATATTGAAAATATAATAAATGTGCGCAGGTAAAGACCGTGTATAAATTAAGCACACAATAATTGTCTAAGCGTTGGCTTCTGACAGCAAAATCTCTGTATATAACATATCGTTATCCCTGTCATTTACGACAAAGCAAAAGTTATGTTTTAAATGGAGATTTTGGTCATAGAAACCCACGGTAAGTGTACTTTGTCTAAGTAACATTGACTTGGCTGTCATTTTAATTTTTTAACTAAATGTTTAATGAGAATCTTTTGAGAAAATTTAGATTTATAGTTTTCAAATAGTTAACGTTGCTTAGTTTATTATTTTGAAAAGTTGCATAATTTTATTCTGTGGCATATTAGTTCCTGTTTTAATTTTCCTTAAATTAAAATTAATATTAACTTTTTTTTATGGCACAAACATTAAATGTTAAGAATAAACTTTAAAATGGCAGGTAAGGTTCAAATATAAAGCTACATATTACATAATCTTGTTATTAACTTCTCGCCATTCCTTGTTCATAGTTATATATATTTTCGTTGAAATTTTATAGACACATATTTTTGTACTTTTATGTTTTATCTCAGTGTGTTGAAATCGAAAATAAGAATCGTTTTATATTTTCTGTAAATGTGGGGCTTTTATATTTAAATCTTGTTTAATATCGCACAAAATCATACCAAAATATAACCAGTAGCAAACAAATAAAGATTACGTATATATTATACTACACTTACCTTGGTTATCACATAAACAAACCGTGAACTTAATAGGTCTTTGTTAAAATATAATTTACATATAAATGGCCCACAAAACATATTTATATCATGTTAATAAAATTATAAACATGCGAAACATTGAAAAAAATAAATTAGGTGACGAAAATAATGTTTAAAATGTTTGAGCCCTTTTCACCTATGTCATTGTCCTTTGTAGACATTTTTCTTACATCAAAACTAGATATATTAATGATATATGATAATATCTTTATAGTTCTTAACATCAAAGCTAGCTTAAGCTCTTTTAAAAAATCAAAGGACAATGTATTGGCAGAAAAATTCAACCATCTTAATAAAAATGAAATTTTGTAATTGTAAATAAATCCATCGAAGCATGTTATCTATATCATCAGTTCTTATATTGTTAATATATTATGTACCTATATACTATTATTTATAAAACTTTCTAAATCTTAAATGATATAGACGTTTCTTACATAACATTTATTAAGTACAACTTACTCAACTATGGTACATCAGCGTAAGCAATATTTTATCACAACATTGTATTAATAACTTCTACGATTGTTTATACGAAGCAAATGTAAACCTCCTTATTGGGGTGAATTGTAATTGTTTAACACGCCTCAAATATCTATAAATATTGTAAAGGCCTGTAATTTTGTACACCTCGATCGATAATTATTTTACATCACCAAATCCAATTAAAACAGATGATAAATCTTTAAAAATAGTTTCCTTTAAACCTTTATTTTTATTTTATCTAAAAAAGAGCGTACACCTTCCTTAAAGGCCGGCAACGCATCTGCAGTTCCTCTGGCGTTGCGGATGACCATGGGCGTCGGATCAAATAATATTAGGCGATTCGTTGCTCTCTTCTCCTATAAAAAAATGAGTGTTTTACGAAAACAACTGAAATCTTCATCATCCTCGTGTGACTCATTTAAAACTGGCCAGTAATGTTTCTAAAGTAAAATTGTATGATTAAACTAAATCAAACAAATATGCAAATAAAAAACATATACTGTAGTAATAATTTATTTTAAACTAACTTATTTCTTCAAAAATATAATAAAAACAATAATATTACATTTCTTAGCTCTTAGCCTTTTGGCCTGTATTGTCCAAGGGTTGCCATCTGGTTGGATAATCTTTGAGTTATTGAATCACGAAATGTTACATTTGCATAACTTAGGAAGAAACTTCTGGTGTGAGAGTTGTATCAGGCACGTTGCATTTTTTGAAATGAGTTCTCATGTTCGAAGACTGTGTAAAGGCGAGTTTACATCGCGGGCAAGAGTACGGCTTAGCACCGGTGTGAAAATTAAGATGTGACTTCAAGTGATGCTTCTTTGTAAACGATTTGGGGCACAAAGAACACGAAAAAGGCTTGACTCCTGTAAACAAATTAAATTTATTTTACAATCTATTACATATTCATCGAAGTTTTATTATGAAGCAAAGTAAATTGAGCCTACGGAATTAACGCCTGATGATAGTAATGCAGCAAAGTTACGAATGTACGAATTATTATTTTTCTCTGTTATCGCTGAATTAACTTCAAAGTAACACATTTAAGTAGTATTTCTATAGTTTTAATGTAAATAGCTTTTGAACTGACCAGTATGAAGTCTTAAATGAAGGGTCATATTGGAGCGATCAGCGAACCGACGATCACAGTGCGGGCAGGCGTAGGGCCGCTCCCCGGAGTGCGTACGCGCGTGTTGCTTCAGTAACATCTTACGTGAAAATGCTTTCCCGCACTCCCCGCACACATGTGGCTTTACTCCTGAAAGTAACAAATAAACAACTCAGGCCCGTGGCCTAGAAGTATCATAGAGTCCCACACACTTGTCTTGACTCTGCCACATTTTAAACATCTGGGAAACTAGCTGCTCGGTTACGGGTGCTCTTTAAATCAACCTTCTTTTATTCAATTAACATTGTTAGAGCTTAATTATTAATCATTACATTAGTTTTAGACACAATTATAAGCTACGCTTTACATCTCATAGTTTTTATAATTATTAAGTCATCACCTACATTAAAGTATACATTTCAATCAAATTACTTTAAAAAATATATTGGTGTTATGGAAACATGCTAAAATGCCGTCAACAGAAACATTCACCATGAATTAACAAACACGTTTTGTAAACCTACAAAACGCTTTATTAAACTTAATTGCCTTGAAATGGCGTGTAGACCTCAAATTTACACTCTCTTGTACTCAACACACAATGAATTTAAGTATTACCTATTGGTAGTGATCGTCTATTGTTCGAAATTCATAATCGTTTTGTTTTTTGTTAAAATGTCTATGCACTTCTTATCTACATTATTTTTAATTATATTTTTCACGTTCATGCGTTCCCCCAAAGAGGTACAAATTTAATTACTGTGTATTTACCTGTATGTATCCTAACATGCATGTTATAAGCCACTCGCTGGTTGAACGACTTTGGACAGATTGAACATTTGTATTCCTTCCTATTCCTGAAACAAATATTTATATTTTCTTTATTTTGTTGACCAAAGAAGTAGCCAAGAATCACAGACAGTAGTGTAAAGCTCCGAAGCTAAATAGGGTATTGTTTTTAAAAGCTTTCGAATCAGTAAACAGTGCGTGTTCCCTAGTTTCCCAAGAATTTCTATATATGATTTTTTTAATGTAAAACATTTTAAATATTACCTGTGTATTTTCATATGGCTACTCAGATATCCTCTATCGTTAAAATATTTCCCGCACACCGGGCAAGTAGTAGCGAACTCTTTAGTACCGCGATGCACCGACATATGATATTTGAAGTTGCGAAGCTGTGAAAAGGTTTTATAACATTCTCCACAACTGTATCTAGTCATAGATGTATGCCGACGCATGTGCGTTGTAAAAGATTCCTCATTCGTGAACACCTGACGGACAAATAAACAAATCAAGTACAATTATTGACCATGTGGTAACTGCGTAATCAAATAAAACTTAAATAAGGGAATGTACTGGAATGGAAAATAATAGTGGACATAACTTTCACAGTAGACAAGCTTTCATAAATCATCAACAAAACTATTAGACTAAGAAACGTAAAACATCCGCCAAGCATATTATACGACGGTTTATAATATTTAGTGGGTTCTAAAATTGGAATATCCATAATAAAAAAATAAGAAACTTGTAGACGTTTGGAAATTTCATGGGCCTCGCCAAAGGGAGAGTAAAGGGGTCTGTTGTTCCCCCTAAAGAATCAAAAATTTGTAAAATAAATATATAAACTACTGCAAAATATTAAAACGCCTACAATCCTAATTGATAACTGAAAAAATATTTGTCAGTAATTTTTCCTACTAGCCCCTATCCCATAGATCTAGCCTAGAACACCGGCTGGCGACACCATTCTGCACATCCGTGTAGAAATAAAAGTAGAAACTCTATCTTAATGTCTGGTCTAATGCAACAATCTTTGGCAACTAACATTTTTAAAACATTGAAAATACCGACCTGATTACAAGTTGTGCATTTCAAGTCTCTAGCGCTCAGACGACGAGAACGTGATATTGCTGCAACTCTAATTTCACTATTTGAATCGTTTTTCGTATCTTCAGTGGTGCTTGAGGGAAGTTTTTCGTTTATATTATTATTGTTATCATTATTTCCATCGAGTTGACTCTGAAAGTGCAGAGATTAAATATTCTATTTTTAGAGGTGATTCATATTAAAATAAAATGTAGATAAGTTATAAACCAAAGCTAGTTTGTTTCTTACCTTAGCCGTAATGATTGGATCAGTTTCAACAGTTTTTCTACGAAATGGTTTGTAGTAATAAGGTAACCGAGGGATCCATGGACTTTCTAGTACTTCGTTTAGAATAACTTCTCGTGTCATTACTCTTTTTATATTCAAGTTCTTGCAATTAATATCGTTTTTGGTATTTATTTCGTTGAATTCTTTTATCGAAGAACTCTTCGTATATTTATTTCTTTTCAAGAGACAATTGATACCGTCTGAATTAGGTACAGACATTCTTAAATCTAGCGTAGAACTTTCTGATCTGATTGAATTATTATTATTGAAATTTAAAGGGAAATGTAAATTCTTTATCCACAATTCTCTTTTGTGCCTATTTCCAGTTAAAACTTTTTCGTTAACTTTACGACTATTAATTTTCACAAATGATTCGGCAAACGATTTTTTCGTACAGTTTTTTAAATCTTGACTGTTTTCATAAGAAGAGAGAGGTCTGTTGGACGTCTGTGATGTGAATGATCTTACTTCAGACATGATCTTATGTGTCTCAACTAGTGTGTTAGGATGGGCGGCATTAGCATTCGTGAAAAGAACTGATGTCGGTCCGTGATAACGCTCATTTGATATTGCCAGCACGCCCGCCCCCAGACCGTTACTACAACCGTTCCGAGCATATGTCTCAATAAATAAATCACGTAGCAACGAGCCTCTTTGTCGGTCTTCACATCGCACTAAATCTCCAGCAGATGAACTAAACTTTTCACTTGAAGTCCGAATCTGTTTATCTCCGAAATCTAAACCATTTAATGAACATTGTACGTTACACATGATACTTTCAATGCCTTTCTTCAAATTATTAGCATACATGCATTCGCTATTCACATCAGAACACGTCGTATCATCATTCTTCGACAAATTACTTTCTTTATACTTGCAACTAATATCTAAATCTGATTTTTCCACACCATTACTAATTTTATACAAATATTGCGGATCAATATAAATCTCCAAATTTCTAATGATATCCAAAAATTCGTTAAGTTGACATCGTTCAATAACAACTTCGCCGTGATAAATATAATACAAAACGGATGACACAGCATCGAGATCAAATTCTGGCAAGATAATATACGCTGGCGAGTCTTTTGCTGGACATGAGAGAAGTACTTCCTAAAATAATAATATAATATATTAACATTTTTTTATCAGTAAACTAAGTTAGATCATGGAAACGATTTGGCGTCTTACACGTGGAGCAAAATTGCTATACAATTGACAGAGAATATATGTCAATGTCTATCTTATTTGAATTTTTCGATTACAATTACTTACTCTTAGATAGGAGCTAACACTGGCGAGGACTGCGCGGTGCGCGCTGAAACTACGTCCGCCGCACAGCAACCGCACGTCGCACCACTCAGCCCGGGATAGCCACTCGCACATCTATAGCCATTGTCAAAGAATGCCTCAAAAAATATTACAAACACAGATAGATTACACAAGTTTACAGAACAAAATATTTTTTTTTTTTACAGAATTTCTTTATTTTATTTAAAATCTTGTTTTTCGAGTCTCTTTGAGATGACTGTGGGTAGCGAAATAAAGCTAATCCGAAACATCGATTAGCAATTCAAATAACTTCTAAATGTTATAGACACACGTTTCGAATTAAGATCTGCAACATGTATTAATAAAATAACACCGGAAATAAACTTTTTAAATACAATTATTTCTTTTTTGTCTTATTACATAGAAATTTGTACCGGATGACCGCGATCGGTAGATGCGTGGTGTCGTTTCGTGAACAAACACGCCATGTTTGCGGCACACTTTAATAATTCTTCGTCGTTCGTACAAATAGACATTACCCCTGGCTGGCACTGAGATGCGGCCAACAACTAGCTGGAGTTTGTACGTCATCACAGCTAAATTAAATAAACACATAGGTAAAACCAGGTTAACGTTTTTAAAGTGACACCAAATGTGAAAGCGTCGATCAAATAAATCTTCTCAAATAAAGGGTAATCTGAACGATTCCTAATATTTAAATTTTCTAACATAATTGTAAAATTAAACTTTATAAAACTTACGTGTGACTTAGGTTAGTTAGACTTAGGTTCAAAAAAAAGACCAAACTATATTGGCAAATTAAAAGATCTTGACGATTTTAAGATAAGGGTATTGAAAGTACTTTCCACTTGATAAGACTACCTTAAACTAAGCTAGGCGTTCCAAAGCGTTGATTATTTTACACAAATCGAATTATGTAATTGAAACAAATTACATATAGCTATTGCACAAAAATAGCAATGAAAAGCTAACGTAACTACCCTGCGACCTAGTACTCTGTGTGTATTATTTTGTATCCTTTATATAAATAACGTAATAGGTATACAATAACGGACATCAATCTTAAAGATATAATACTCGTATATTATTATTTATAATTAAGTTCTCTCATCCTTTTTTTCAATTGTAGCAGTCGCTACGCAGTCACCGTGTAAGGTTAGCTATTCATCGTAACTTACATTATTGGGTGATTGAAGATTTTTTTTTCGTGTCCACGTAATTAAATGGATTAAGTTTAAAGTAAGTTATAGAAACATGAAATTATTAATTATTAAGTTTTTAAATATACGTTTTGACACTTTAAAAATATACTAATAAATTACTTCGTTGATAATCGCTTATAAACAACTAAATTAATACTTTAAAATATGTTGAAGCTTACCATTAACTTCTAAAATTAAAAATCGCACATTTTAATATTTTACTTGAGGTCTACGCGCCTAAGTTTGTTTGTGACTTTGGCACCGCACGGAAACTTAAACGAGCGGACAACTTCCATCCACTGCACTCGGTGGTTGTAAGCCGATTGAGCCAAGCTCTACGATAGAATCCACCGCAACCTTTCCACTGGTCTAAATCCAATTATTTCAATGAACCTGGTCAGACTTTCATTTAATTGGAACAGCAATTTAATGTAAAATATAATACAATAATGTCTTAAAATAGTACCAAATATTTGAATCTGTGACTTTAATTGTTAAGTATTATTTCTAGATTAAATGTATAAAAATCAATGTTTATCCTTTGTACATCTTTGAATTGGGTGATCGGAAGATTGTGATTTACTTTGGCAGAGTATTCTTAGAACGCCTACGAGAACTCTGACATACTTTAGTTATATATTTTTGAGTTATTATATAATATACAAATAATATTTGCCAGAATTCGTTTTTCGAAAAAAAAAATACCAGCATTAGTACCAAAATAAACGCATGATTAAACATTAAAACAATATAAAATATTACAACATATTTACGGTACGTATATTTTCTCAGTCCTTTACTTTATTAAACATTGAGAAAAAAATACGTGCTTAAATGTAATTAAGCTTTCTTTTCTCATTAATAACTAAAGCACAGAGTTCAAAGGCCAGTCATAAGTGTTGTATAACGAAACGTTTACTAAGTAAAAACTGGAATTGGTAATTTGCTAAGAACTTAAAGTTTTAATGTCTATGTCGAGTTTCTTGGAACGCGCTTGTTGTATAAGCATATATTAATGATAAAATCTTGATGTTATTAAGTAGTCTAGTATGGCATTTAATATAATTTAAACACAAACATTTGGTTGGGAAAGCTTGAAGTGATAAGAGTCGGATTCCATATTGTACAAATTGTATATCATGTAAGAATATATCGATTTTGCTCTTTGCAGACCGGGTTACAAACTGACGTTACGATGTGTACTGTAACATGTTAAACGGCGAGCATACGAGCAGATTATAGTGTTACGGAAACATGTTACATCAATCTCGTAACATCGGTCAGGTTGAAGGCTATTTCGTTTATAAACATATTGTTGTGTTGGTTAATGCAGTAACATAATATATAAGCAGAAGTAACATAATAGCTTGTCAATTAAAAGACGCTAGTCCTGCAAAGCATTTTACAGTAGTATCTTATAATGCCCTCATTGTATTTTCAACTATTTCCATTTGACAAATGAATAGCGATAAATGTGTGGTTATTTTTTTCAAGATGATCACATGTTAATAGTGTGGATTATAACTTATTTTTTTAATTTTCAAGTGTGAGAAAATATTACAAAGTGTAAGGGAGAGAGGTATAACGTAAGAAAAAAAATCAATTAAGTTTCATTGAACATATTACTGTCCATATAATCTAAATCATCTATATTTTGTACATATGAATTGAAATAATTACCGGAACTTGTATTACAGTCATATTTACTACAAATACAATAGCATATACTTCTTCCGCAAGTTCTACATTTACTTGAGTGTTTCATTGTTATTTCATCTGCATATTCACATTCAATAAAATCACCGATACTACATTTTACAGGCACATCCCAATCACACAAAGGTAAAGAATTAGTAATTAAAAACTGATCAACGCTTTCGAATGTACTTAAGTTGTTGAACACTTGCTTTTGTTTTCTTGTCAATACTTTTTCAAGCATAAAAACTAAATGATGATGATAACATTGAAATGTTATTTTATCTTTATATTTATCTTTTATATCCATCCATAATTTTACGCAACTAGCTGGTGTTGTTTTTGCTCCACTAAACAGAGCTGGATTGACTAATAATCCACTTGCTGCCATTACACCATTACAATTGGTTTGATCATACAAATAATCTGCATCAGATAATGTTTTTATACCGCCATTTACAACTACAGGTACTGTTACTGATTCACAAACAGTCCTCAATGCGTGAACATCAATATTTTCACTACTTTTCTGAATAGGTGTTCTTCCATGTACTGTAAGAAATGTTACACCACATTTCTCTAATTGTTGGCATAATGAGATAGTCTTTTTCTGTTCATCCAATATTCTTATCTTTACTGACACACTGAAATTAGCAGGAAGACTATTCTTTATACCTTTCACAAGTTCATGAATTACTTCTGGCTTAGATAATAATGCACAACCATAACCGTCCTTCATTGCCCATCTTTGAGGACAACCACAATTTAAATCTACTCCATCTGCGTAGGGATACAACAGTTTTGAGGCATCCACAAAATCATTTACATCATTAGCCGCAAATTGTACAATCAGAGGAGAATCATTTACAGTTGTCGTAAATTCATTTGAACGAGCTTTAGCATTCTGACAAAATGAATCAGCTAAAATCATTGGGGTGAATGTCAAATCTGTATCATAACTGAAAGAAAAAAAATACTAAGTTTTATTGAAAAAAAGACTAACATTCAAAATTTTCAGTGTATTGATAGATGTAAAATTAAATACATATTATGATATAAAAAAATTAAGTTATCACAGTTAGTCAACAAGCAGTTCATTTAAAATTATCGTGTTACATTTAGTTTCATTAGTTAAATTTTGGTTAGAAAAGCGTTAAACGCAAGAATTATCTTAAAGTTAAATAAGTTAAGTAATAGATATAGATATGATTAACAATACAAACCTTCTCACGAGTGTTCGAAATTGAACTTTACTGTATCTGACCATAGGCGCACAAACATTTAAATAATTCTGGTTAGCTTTAGCAATAGTAAATAATTGTGAAATATCGTTTCTTACTTTCATTTTATTGTGATTTTGTCATTAATAAAATGACCACCAATCCAAAATTATAAACTCTTGGACCCAGTAATGTATTTGACATTGACAAGTTGACACCAAAAACAAGACCCAGAATAACTTTTTCATTGTGGAATGGTGGAAATTCGTAGACATGACACGCACACTTCTTGCACCTTTTTTCCTTTATTTTTAATATCCCTGAAAAAAAAGCAATAAGAAACATTTCCAGTAAAGGAAAACAAATTTTCGGTAATTTCCACAATTCTAAAGAAAATTGGAGTGGCTACAGTTGTGCCGTTTTTCTCAGATGTATTATATTAACTAGAAACACATTAAAGGAAGTGTCATGTTAATGCCATGTGTGTTGTCACCATTAAGAACAATCAAGTCAATCAACACCAAATAAATTGCAATTTCTGTATCTGTATATCCATTTCCATAAGATTTTTTAAATACTTTAATCTTTCACTTATATTATGACGGAAAATACCATCGATATAGGTGTTTTAGAAGAGAAGCCCGGCTGGCTTTTGCATCCAAGGTTTTTTCCTAGTAAAGTAGGTGGAAAACCGGCATGGTTAGATCTCAAGAATTTATGTGCACCAACCGATCTAACCTGTAAAAAGTGTAATGATCCTTTAATTTTTCTTTGCCAAGTACGTTTTTATAGTCTATATATCTACAAAATAACTTCAACATTTTTAATTAATGTTATGTTTCAAGGTTTATGCACCCTATGAAGAAAAAGAAGATTGTTTTCATCGAACGATTTTCATATTTGTTTGTCGAAATGGTTCGTGTTGTCGACCAAACTGTAGTGATAACTTCTTAGTCTTACGCTGTCAATTGCCACGTAAAAATGATTTCTACTCATTTGAACCCTACAAGGAAGATGAACTTGAGGTATTTATAAAATAAGCCTTAATTTATTAACATAATAAGTAAGAAGCTTTACATATAATACAATCGTGTTTTTACAGAGATTTTCTATGGAAAAGTGGCCAAAGCTATGTAATGTTTGTGGAGTAAGAGGACCTTCACATTGTTCAAAATGCAAGAAGTCATACTACTGCAGTCGAAAACACCAAATATTAGATTGGCAAAAGGGCCATAAAGAAAATTGTATAAAGCTACAGGTATAATTTTTTTCTTTGTGCAATTGTAAGCAGAGTAATGGATAAAAATATGTATTTATTTGCCACAGATAAATAATAAATTTATTTAAATCTTAGACAGATGACAATTGTCCGCTACCCAACTTTACTGTCACAGAAGCAGGAAAATCTGTTTTGTTCAAAGAATGGGAGCTTGTTGTAGATGCAGAAGATGAGGTAAATATAACCAGTTTATACTTGTTTGCAATAGTAAAATTAGTGTTTTTAAAGATTTTGGACAGAAGCCCTCAAATACTGTTTTTCACCATTTTCTTAAACATTGCTTAGAAAATTAACTGTAAACATATTATTAAATTTTTCAAGGAGGATGACAATGTCGTGGATGAAAATCAAGAGATGGAAAAATTGAGAAAGATGATGAATGAAAAGAGAGCTGGCACTTTAAGCAATATAAGTGAAAGTGAATTGGAACAATATACTAGAAATATGCCAGAGGACAAAGTATTTAATAAATTCAGTAAAAGGATTTCTAGACATCCTGAACAAGTGTTAAGGTATGACAGGGGTGGAACCCCTTTGTGGATCACTGGCAACACTGAAGGTGCCTTAACTCACATTCCTAATTGCCAATATTGTAGTGGAGAAAGACAGTTTGAATTTCAGGTATGTTCAGTTTCTTATTTTAATAATACAAAGTTTTAATATTCTTCTCACATACCAAGATTGTTTTAGAGAGGTCTTATTCAAGTAATGTTCTTAAGCAGAGTTAAATTAACTATTGCATATTGTTTCAGGTAATGCCACAACTTTTGAATTTTATCAATGTTGGTATTGACTTTAACAGCATTGATTGGGGTATATTGGCTATATATTCTTGCAAAAACAGCTGCAATGATGGTCCCTCATATAAAGAAGAGTTTGTAATAAAACAAGATTTATGTCAATAAAGTTTATTTTCTAACAAAATAAATATACATTACTTATCTAATTCTCTTTCACTGGTTTCTTTCCATAATCTTCAGCTAAGTATGTGAGTAGATCATTGAGGCCACTAAATTCAGTTCTTGATTGTGGGGGGTTATTCTTAGGAAGAACTGGAAGCATGTTTCCTACTTTTATTCTGAAATCTTTAAGCTGAAACAAAGTAACAATTACACTAAAGAAGATCAACATATTTTAAAAAAGAAAGAACAAAAAACTTACATCCTTTGCTCCAGAAAGCTTCCATATGCCATAACACAAGCATGAGGTACCAGCAACAGCATACAATGTACCCCAACCCAAGGCACGCAATGCTAAAATTGCTCCAGCATCCGCTAATTCCACACTACTATGTAAGCCTATAAAAGTTGTTTTAGATAATGTTAAAACAATCACTGCTAATGAGTCAGCAGCATAGTTAAATAAACATTTAGTACCACCATTGATATAAGTAATTAATGAAGAAACTAAAAGTTTTAACATTCCAAATACACCACTTCAAATACTATTTATTTTAAAGATTAGGTTTAAAGTGTCTGTAACAAATCTAATCATGTCCATATGAATATTATTTGACATGTTATTACATTTTGTAATTACCTTTGTTAAAGTATTTTGGATCTGACTTTTTTGCAGCTGATAAGGTGGCACCAAAACCAACAAAAGCAGAAATCCCAGCTACAGATGCGAGAAATGCACCGGCTATAAAAAGGCAGATATTTATTATTTTATTCCCTTAAAAACACAGAAAATTTTATTACCTTTAATTCGCTGAAGTCTCTCTTCGTCTGCCATTGAATTTTGGTAAGCAATGATAAGGCACATGAATGTTTTAGTAACGTTTTTAAATTTCCATTTTATATTTATTAAACAATTTATTGCCTAATTTAGTTTATTTTTATGAAGGAATTTATTTTATAACCTCTTTATCTCAAAAAAGATCAAAACAACACACAAACACACTGACTTTGCTGTCAATGTCAACTGTCATTATTTGTATCAAAGATTAGCTTAATTTGCAACAACCTGCCTGCTTCATAAATTATGGTTTGTGACTAAATTCCTTCGAGGAGTCATTTCTCGTTGCTGATAAAAATAATGAATAGCAATATCAGTTCTGCATCACAGGCAGGGGACTGCGTATAAAAGACGTCCAGTGATTTTTGATGACGAATTACAAGGGCTTGTTACTGTAACCCCAGAAAAATATATATGCCCTGGGGAATTCTGTAAGTTCTGTTCATACATTTTTGGCATGACCAAAAATATAACCTTGTTTTCAGGGCGCCACAATGTCCACTTACATTGCTACATTCTTTTTACATCACGTCAATGCGTTTAACAAACTTCATTTAAAAATCACCCTCGTATTTTAGACGGATTCAAAATTAACTGCTCTTATATGTTTTCTTTGCGGCTATTATTATAATCAGAGTGTATGAAATACTTTAAAACTTGACAACACTCATCAATATCAATACTATTCCAAATGGCAACAAATTTTTAATGCAACTTACCATACTTGTTACCAATAATCCATCTTCAGCATAAATTAAAAAAAAATCATTTTCTGGACAGGCAAATAGTGAGTGTGTTAAAAAATGTAGTGACCTACAAAAAGTTGCGGGTCTCACCTTTGTTAAAGTAAATTATTCTGAGACAAAATTAGTCGAAGCCGAAATATTTATAAAAATCAGTCATCTCTCTCACTCTGAAGAGAATTAGATATTTTTAGGCTGTTTTGTCATTGGAACCCTACAGTTAATTCACTGTCTAAGACACAGTTGATATGCATTTATCAAATCAATGATTGTAATCATTGGTAAAAAGGTGATTTGTTGTGAGTTGGTGAAATTATTACTAATAGCCTTAATAATTACTACTTAGGTACTCAACTCTCAAACTAAAATTAGTAGCATGACTTGTTTAATAAAACTATTTTCCCAAAATTTAATACTGATTATAAAATGTTCACAAATACATCAAATATAAATGACACCTAAAGCAACTATATTTTGTCTAAAAATTAATGTCATTAACATCAAGAATTAAGACATGTCATTACATAAATGTAGACACAGCCATTTTATTCTATCTTTACTTTCAATTATTCATATTAACATACATAGATACTACTTAATTAAAGATTAGGAAGTCCAAGTTAATAAACATTATTAAGAGATTTCATTTTAGTTTATTTTCTTGTCTAAGAGCTTATAAGATAAAAAAGACAAACAAAAGAAAAATCACATAGCTAATTTAACTTACTATCGTTTTCTTTTAATGGAAGCTAATATAATACACAATTTAAACTTTAACCTTTACATTATCATTATAAAACAGATACAGTACAGTATTAAATACATGTCGTAAAATAGCATTAACTAATATTTACAAGTCCCTCAAACATCTATACATTTTATTAAATTATTAATAATTTAAAATAAGGGTTAAATGGACAGGCCACATTCTCAACACTCATTTCTTTTGAACTTTTTGCTAGATTCATTCATATCTTCCAGTTTGTTAATCCGTCTTGTCTTGAGAAACATGTTACCATCACTGTCACTAGGGTTCTGTCGTATGCAGTTCACACTTGATACATTCTGATTATGTACACCATATTTTTTATCACCAAGAGTTTTATTTTTAGTTACCAATAACGTATTTTGAAAGTCTTTAACCACATCACTTGTGTGCAATTTAAGAGGAATAAAAATTTTATTTTCAGTATCATTCTTCTTGATTGGAACCAATGTCTTGTTTTCAGTATCACTGGATAACCTAATAGTTTTTCTTAAATGTATGGTATCCGACGCGTCTGTAAAACCGCGTTTAACCACTATATCACCAGTGGCTTGTTTCACTAATGTTAGTGTTGGTTGTTGTTCACTATCTTTGTCAGGTTTTGAGGTTTTACTTGAATTTCCTTTGTCTCCATCGGATGCTTCATCTGGCTGTTCTTCATTTTCAATTAATTTACCTTCAACAAAATTATAAGTTTAAAACTTGTCATATTAAAATAATATTTAAGAATTAACTGTTATAATTTTTTAAAACTCATGGACATAGTCAATACCAGAAAATCTCCATTAGTTCATTATTGTGCATCAAATAAATAATTACAGATTATGCAATTTTTTGTTATATATTTTTAAAAGTAAATAACATTACCATTTAATGTGGGGAATGTGATGTCAGGTAAAGTTAAATGTGACTCTGGATTGTATCTGTGCATTAATGCTTTTAATAAAATGGAGATTTCTTCTCTCTTCCTCGTCACAACAATTTCATCAAACCAGTTAGTCAGCTGTTTTATAGGTAAAGTATAATCCAAAATTGGCTCCTGGAAGTGAAATTTAAACATATTGTAAGAACAGTAGATTGTGACTAAAAAGAAATTTGTGAATTAATCAGCGAATTACTTCTTTTCTTAAGAAATTATGTATCACAGTAATAAAATTAGATTTTAAAGAATGTGAAGTTGAAGCTTTTGCCATTTTTAAATAAAAACAGATAAACATACCTTAAAAAAATGCTCTACATATTGCAACAAATACAGGCCACAATCAGTAAAATTATTTTGTTGAGGTATTTTCGGACAGCTTCCTTTAATATTGTCTTTGTTAAAAACTTTATTTTTACATATCTGAAAACGTACATTACATGAGAAAGTAGTCTAAAAAAAGTTATTTTAAAATAATAACTGGAATAATAACATACTTTTGCTTGATATTCACATGTGAGGTAGTCACGTAAAGTCGCCACAACTCTTGACCTAGAGGCACCGGCTAACGAATCAAAAATTAATATACAGGGTCTGTAAAAAAATATTACAAGTTAGAGTATGTAACATAATAATATTAGATTTGCTACAATTATATTGTAACTCACTGCTTTATAGGTTCATTTCTGCCAATTGGTGTTTGTTCTACTCTTTTTTCCGCTTTTTCAGTTTCATCATCATCTGAATCACATTGCATATCTAAATCACTTTCCTGTAAATATTTGTTACAGAATTAATACATTACATTAGTTAAGTACTAGTTTTCATTAGTAATCAATGAAATTTTAAGATGGCCTAATATTACAAATTTTTTGGCAATAGAAATTAAATACTGGTTGTTTCAAGTTTTAATTGTAAAAATTCAATATTTTTGTGTAAGTACTTACATCAGCCTCAGCCTCATCACGTTCACTCAGATTATCAGCATCACAATTCAAAGTGAGCTGCTGTTCTTGTTTAGTCAAAGGGGTGATTGTGGTATTACCAATCTGTATTGAAGGCCGTCGTTCTACAATATAAACAATTTAATATAACAAACCTTAGTAAATACTATATGAAATAAAATGTTATTATTAAGTTGTACTTCAGAACATTGTTTTATTCTTAATCTTATCTTTATTATGACATTTTTATCACAACTTCAATACATTATGAGTGGAAAATCTACAATATTATAACAAACAGTAGTTTCATTACTTTATTAAAATAAAAATAGTTGTAATCTTGTTACAATTGCAATTTCATATGTAAAATAAAATATGATAACTCACCTCGTTTTTTAATTTGCTGAGGATTAAGAGTTCTATTGTCAATCATACTTCTACAACCTTCTAAGCTGGGAAAACAAATAATAGCCACAAACCAATGGCAGTTTTCGTTAATAGGAACTACAATAAAGTCTTTTTCAAATATATTCACATTTTTAGTCCATGTTTTAACTCTGGCATGTCGCTTTTGTGCCGGAGTTAGACTACTATCCCATTCATGTGGATTTGATATTTTGTTTACTTTACTAGGTTTGGTTGTTAGCCTTTTATAAAAGAATGTGCTAAAAATATGAGTCTTTTCTCTCTGTACATGTGTTAAAATATCGTGTACTAAATGTTTTAAATAAAAATCTATGATAACATCATTTAAAAATTGATCTTGCGCCAGGCACATGTAGTCTTCAGTATTTATAGGTATACCACCTTTACCAGGTGGATAAATTAAGATCTGTCTTATTTCTGTGGGGTTCGCACTGGAAAGAAAACAAAAACTTCATTACATGCACATTATTCATCAAAAGATACATTAATCTGTTGCTTTACAGTCGGTATTAACACATTCACTAGGTCAGGTTGAGTGATATGCAGTTTTCATATATAATATAAGTTTTCCAATCCTGTATGGCAGTTTGCAGTAACTGTAAACTTCCCTATAAACACCTACTGCTTGAAGCTGTCAGTAACATTTTAATAATGCTGTCTGTTTGTAATTGATATTTAACTATTATTTTTAATAATTTAAATGTTTATCTTTTTGAGTAATGTGTGAATGGTAACTGAATAGACCAATTAAGAAAACCAGTACAATAAAATCATTGTGACTGTGTGTAAATGTATGAGTCAACTGCTAAAACTTACCTCTTAGCTCCAGAATTGGAGGTGCTCATTGACCTAGTTGTAATTTTAGCAACATTATTACTATCTCTAGGACAAGTCCTTACTAAAATATCATTAGCTTCACGGGCATTTAGTTCATCCATTAGCTTACCAAATAAAGCTTTTAAGGCATTTTTTGCATCATCTGATATACACTCGGGTAACAAAGTTATCCTTTTATATGGATCTACTACAGACATAGGATTGTAGTATGGTCCTGTAAATAAAATCATTAAAGACATTTCTTTTAAAAATCACATTACTTTTATATTATATTTATTTAAACTATTCTAATTTTTATTTCGATTGATTTGAAAAAAGCAATATTGGGAAACTGTTATCTCCGGGTTGTTATGAGATTTTTTTATTCCATGCAGATGAATAACTGCTAGTTATATATAAGGTTATGTCAACCACATCACTTATTATTATTATAACAACAAGATATAATTTTATAATAACTTAGTTTTGATTTAAAGTGCATCTCTAGGATTATTCATATAATATTTAAATCGAACAGAAATTCTTAATGAAAATTATTGTACAGTGCACATTCTGTGTGAACAATTTTGAAACTACATGACCATCATATAATTTCATTTACTGCAAGCATGTTCGGTAAATATAATGTCATTTTAAACTTAAATAAATACTAAAATCTAGAACAATGAAGTACTCACCAGTATCATCTATCATATCCAAAGCTTTTCTTACATAAGCTCCGCATTTACTCATAGTATACAAAAAAATAACAGGCAGTCCTTTTCCAAAATGGACTAATATTCTAACAATTTCTTTTAACTGTATTTGCAGTGCTACCTCTCGTGATTCATTTTTTAAGGAGGGTGCAACAATTTTAATACCTTTAGATGATATGTATACCTGAAATAAAATATAAATTTCCACTTTAATAAGGTATTCATACTCATTTAAGAAAGGTAAACTAACTTCATAATTTTTATGATTGCAATATTATTATAAAATGGACAAACCTTTTCCTTTGGTGTATATCTATAAGAACCAATTCTAATAGTTCGACAGTTAAGAGATGTAACAATTCCTTGAGATGAGCTTGGGTTAATCTCTTCTCTACTTCCATCTAAAAATATTAAAACATGCTTTTTAGATATAAGTTTTAATAAAATAATTACAACTACACTTGGAATAAATTATTCTGATAATTTGAATATTGTGAAACACCACTATTAATATAGGTAAGAAATTTTAACACTTCTTTATTAAAAGGGTATTGGTTTTACATTGCACATCAATTTTAAATACTAGCTACCATAAAATCGAACATAGATTTTTTCATTATAGATACAAAGGCTATTTTTTCTATATACACTTGTCTATTTATAGCCAACATACTAATTGTATTATTTGTATAAGGGGACGTAAAAAACACGAAATTACTAATGTTTTACTTATCGATAGCAACGCAACGCATTTTAGTAATCAACTTGGACAGAGTTGGTAAATGTGTCGACATTGTGCACTGTGGTAAATTGTGGTATTATTATGGCTATTCATTATTATTTTACTAGGAATAGGAAAAAAGTATGTCGGGAACATGACGATAAATATTTTCGATGTTATTGATTAAAGTTTATGTTGGGTTCAAACAATTACAAGTTGCTAACCATGCGGCATTCAATATGTCAGGTATAACAAGCGATGATTTAAGAGTTCAATATATTTAGAATCTTATATACCTTTTTTAATACCTAAATAACTTTTTTCTTTAAACATTTTCGTTACAAAATCTTCATGAACGCGTTGCAATTTTGACAGCAAAAGCAATCGAATTGTGTCGCAGAATACAGATACCTAAAAATAACTGTTGTAACGCTTGCGATAACTGTTAGCGATAACCGGTTACTCGACAGATAACAAAATTTTCACTATTAATATGGGAAAACCACAATTTTATTTCCAACAAAATAGAGACAGGCAAACATAATTTGGGTGTATTTTAGAATATATGAAATATGTTATGTTTTATATTTGAGCCACTACATTGTACATTGATAAGTAATAAAATGGCAACCCTAAAAATTTGTTTTGAAGAATATGCAGGTCGTAAAAATGTCTGCGGGATAATCATAGATAACGCTGATGCAAATGCAATGCAGATGGTAACGTTCTTGAATTTTTTAGATTTATTGCAGCACTTAGACCTGATGGAAAGTTTTTGACATTTACAGGGCGAGACGACTACAAGTTTTACGAGCTACCAGCGAGAAATTATTCCCTAACTTCTTCCGATACTCGTCCACGTTACACCACTGTCGTAACATTTGTATAAACGCCAATATTTGAATATCATTTTCAATTTTAATTTCTATCAATCGTATATGAGTGTTTCACCATTTGAAATAGCCGACTAATCTGTATTGCCACGTGCAACACTTCAATTTTGGCTGTTGTGATTCCACTACAGTTTAAAAGTTTTAAGACATCTCGACTAATAATCCAACCACGATATTTGCGCCAGGGATTGACCCACAGATTTTTAATCTACTAGCTTAAAAGGCGTAGACTTTATAATAATGAAAGTAAATAAAAAGGAAAGTACTTACCTTCCATGTGATCCATGCCAAAGGAATTTTCAGAGGTTCCTTCAATTTCACTCAAAGTAGGTTCCTTAATATTGATGGAAATTTCATGCTAAAAGTTTAAAATAACATCTTCAGACAAGTAACAAGAACTCAATAACTAAAACAGAGAAATTCCTAAATTTCACTAACTTAGGTTAATTTTATTTCTATCTATACTTCTATTATAAAAAGGGAAGATATGTATATTTGTATGTTAAGAATAAACTGAAAACGTACTGAATCGATTTAAAAAAAATAATTCCATAAGACAGCTTATATTTATAAGTAGAACTCTTAAATTCCGCGCGGACGAAGTCGCGCGCAAAAACTCGTTAGCGGTAAAAACCAATTTTACTGGACATTCTCCATGGTGCTTTTATCTTAAATAGCAACTTTCAACAAAATTAAAAAAATATCTATTAAAAAAGTTGGATTTTGTTCCTAATGACTATTCTTTTCTTTGTGTGTAGATGCAGTACGTAGGTTCAGCTGCAGGGACAGAAAGCTGTAATTTTGATATTTCATATTTACCTGACTACTGAGCATCGAGCTATTGGAATCCTCTTCGTCAGAGCTTAATGTCAATATAACTGGTTCGGGATCAGGTTTCGCTTTTGGCTTCCTAACTCTTGTCGGCTTTTTATCCTGCTTTATTAAACATTTTTACTATGTGAATTAGTATTATTTAATAATTATTTTATTAATTTTCAGCTAGAACAGAATAATAATTTTACTTGCAACAATATATTAGAATTACTTACAGTTTTGTTATTTAGTGCCTTCACTGTAGTCTTCAGTAAATTTAGTTTAATTCCATCACTACTACAAGAGCTGTAACAAAAAAAATAGTTATTTAAATGTGAAAATTATTTTTATGAATACCATATTATGTATTTTGCTATAATAGTAAAAAGTACAATCTTCGCTCTATATACTATTAAAAAATTCAGATATCTGTTTTTAATTTTATGAAAGTCTTACTTTTGTTTGTCCAAAAGACTTTTTTCTGGTTCCTTTTTCTTTTGTTCTAGTTTCTTACTTGGCACACTCTTAGGCTCCTCGGTAAAAACTCTTTTACACCTGAAATAAAATACCAGGTTAATCTAAAAAATCAAAACGTTACAAAAAAAAAACAAAATAAGATACTTTTAAATTACAAAATATCTGTTTTAGCTAACATAGATCTATCTGTATATTATTCAGAATAAGCACAAACCTTTGGCAGCGACTGAAATCGAATCCGGTATAGCCACAAGACTTGCAGACCGCCAGCATACCGTCCACATACCGCGGCGGGGGCGACCGCCGTTCCGGAGATTCGGGACTATTACTGCTTACTGAACACGCAAAAAAAAAAGGAAATAAAGTAAAATGCATATAAATTTATACTTGGACATAATAGAATGATCATGGAAAAACTTCTATCATTCGGCCAGTAATATGAATTTAAATACTCGGGCTTGTAATAGTAGAAAGGATTATATTCTTCTTTCTCAACTTTTTCGTAACGACACTTAGAAATTAGTTGACAGATACGTGATGTAGTAATAAATATGTAACAATTTACCATTATCAGGACATTGACTCTTTTCTGGTGTTGACATTGCACTGTTTTGTGGTTGGGGTAAAGCAGTAGGGGAAGTTCTACTACTCATATCACCAATGAGCATCTGTAACATAAATTACAATAAGATTCCATTGATAAAAACTTGTACAATACATTGCCATTCCTCACTTTTAAAATATAGAGACATCAATTTATATTTGTATTTTTTTTAAATAGTGGAAACGTAAATACACTTACAGGATGATTTTCCAACATTTCTTCTATTCTAGCTGTGGCGCCTACAGAGACGAAATAATCAATTTCACTACTTGTATTTTGCATGCATTGGATGTGAGTGTCCTCTGAAAATGGTACATTGACCTGAAAAAAATAAACAAATATATAGTTATCCTAAACAATATAAAGACGTAGTAATAGTTTGATTATAGACTTATAGGAAGACGATAGTAATTGTCTTAGAAATAGTTAGGCCCTTCGTTCACAAGGCAACATAAATATTCAAAACCCGGCAATTTTATTGCTTACAGCGCGCCGTTGACATGTATATCTGTCATCGTCTAAGGAAATGGCTCGCAACCGTTTGTTAAAATCGTTGGGAGATGATTCGGTGCAATTTTCAAGTTGACTGGACGACTCGCGTCTACGATTCCATGGTGTGTATGCGATGCAACCATACTACATTTGATTTGATGATTTACATTGCATTGTGTACAAAGGGCCTTAGTATATTTAAACTTATAGAATTCACAGAAGTCTGTTACCTGTTCAAGAACTTCTTGTAGTGTACAGCTTTCTTTGGGTAAAGTGAACGTAATCAATCTCTGTTCACCATTCTGAAGAAATATCAACATTTTTGCTGATTGCGGTTCCGCTGATTGTTCTGACGGACCACTACTCACCGACTCGCTGGTATCTGGGAAATTTTGAATGTTACTTATTATTTTTTTTTTGTAAAACCAAAGTAAATTGGGTTTCGTTTATTATATAATAAAAATATATTTGAATAGTGAAACACATATTGATAGTGATATTACCGGATTGCATTGGCTGCTGTTGGTTTTGCATGGGCAGTACTCGTTGCACCGGTCGCGGCTGTTCTTTGCTTCGCACCAACGTCTGGCGGCCAGTTTCACTGTACGCACAAATAAAATTTACTAAAAAAAATCCATGTAATTGTGAGTAGTCACATATAAATGTGACGTGAACAGTCTTGGGTTGCCATTTTCATTGTTGTTGCATAATCATCATAAAATGAGTAAGTTTTAGAAAATGTGTCAATTTTAAATTCCAAAAGAAATACAATTTACAATCCAGTTTGACACATACTGACAAATGATTTGACAATTCAATATGGCGGATTTTCAATTTTTGTTACTCAAATTAATTGGTGACATTATCAGAAAATACTGATATGGTTTCTTATCGTTAGTTTCTGTGACCAAAATCTCTGTAAAAACATATAGTCATCCATGTTATCTTAGACAAAACAGAGATAACAATATGTTTTAAATGGGGATTTTGATCTCAGAAGCCCATGGTTAGGCAGGTTGATTTTAACTAAAGGAATAATAACATACCTTTGTTGCTGAGGAACAAGTTGCTGCTGTGAGCGGGCGGGCTGATGCAATCGCTTGTACTCTGCAAGTGTTATCCGCTGACCGTTTGCAAACGTAAGCACTTGTCTTTCTTCCTCCGCATTATCTGTATCCATTAACAAATGACTAAGAGTTGTCGTATGTTGCAACTGGGTTTGTTCAAATGTCTGTTGTTGAGGTTGACTGCTGAGGAAATGTTGCGGACTGAATGTTAATTGATGTTGGGGTACAGATGTGCTTGTGTGGTTCTGTCTGTTTTGAGGCGGCGGAGTGTGGAATTGCTGAGGTGAGCTGATGCTCTCATTGATAGGATGTTTCTGAACTATAGCAGCTGTAATACTTTCTTCAAGGTCGTCCATTTCGTTGGCATTGTTGGGCTGTACTGCGACTTTTTTAACTTGCTGTTGTATTTGTGGATGAGGTGAAGCCCTTTGTGTTGGGCCATTCATTGTGCTTTGTTGAGGTAGCGGTCCATTGCTCTGGGTTTGTACGACATTATGCTGTGACATTTGTGTTTGCAGTCCCTGCGTCACTATAGTTCCCTGCGGTGTAATGATTCGCGTCGCTTGCGAGATGCCGGCGTTTTGTTGATTGAGGATAATTTGTTGCTGTAACAAAATGTTATGATTAAAAACTGGTAAGATTTTTGGAATTTCATAAACATATATATTTAGCGATAACATGTTGAAAACGTTTATTGCAATGATTACGTACTTGTTGTGGAGTCAGTTTTAGCTGATTTATCTGTTGCTGTATTTGTTGCTGATGAACTTGTTGGCCTATGATGTGTTGTGCTAACTGATGTGGAGTCTGTAATAAAAAAATAATTACTGATGTTTGTTGTTAATATTATTGTCTCCACATTATGTATGCCAGGTTTGACTTGAGATTCTTTTTGTTATTTTCCTAATGATAACATTCTAAAATTACTCAGCTTTATTAAAAAGATATTTTGAATAAACGATTAATTATGAATTAGGGAAAAGAATTCAATAAATATTTAATGAAAGTTAATTAATGATGCGTAATATAGCCAAAATATTTCAACGGTATATGTGTACCTGTGAGAGGGGTGTGCGGGGGCGCGGTGGGCGATGCTGCGCGAGCGGGGGCATGACGCGTGGAGAGGCGGGGCGCGCCGCACGACCGCCACGCCCTCCCGCCGGGCTCGCCGCTGGGGACACGCCGCGGCCCACACCCGCCGGACTGTTTTGTGCCTAAACAAAGGAACCCAATATACATACCAAAACTTGTATTAAAAGGAACAATTTAAAAATTATTTAATAAATTGCAACCGACAGACAATTCATGTAAATCAACAGATGTACATAAAATTAAAAACTGGTGACTTTCAGATTTCGTCAGCGTTAATTTTTAATGCACAATAGAAGCTTTGAAAACTAGTGTCAGTCATAGGGAAGAACCATGAAATACTTACGTACATAAATACTTAGGGAAAGACTTACCTGCTGTAGCTGTGGGTTGAGATGCCTAGCGACCTGTGTGCCAGAGGCGCTCGCCAGCGCGGCCCGGGCGGGAGGCCGCCGGGGGCGCACCGTCCTCACCGGCGTGCGGACAAGGGTCAGGCCGGGAGTGGTATTGAGTGCTTGATTCAGTAAACGAGGCGCTGGCTGCCGTGTAGGTGTACCCTAGAGTTTATAAAATTATATTAGAAATCTGGTTCATTCTACAATTCACTTATCATTGTGATTTCTAAAGAATCATAAATTACCTGTTGATTGATATATGCTGCATGCATTACAACTTGTTGGTGTTGTATTTGTTGGGGTTGAAGGTGTTGTTGCTGCTGCTGCTGTTGTTGTTGTTGTTGCTGCAGTTGGTGTTGCAGTTGTTGTTGCTGCTGTTGTTGAAGTTGTAAGTGGATTTGTTGTTGGTGTTGCTGTTGAAGATGTTGGATTAGTTGGGGTGAGGCTCTTGCCAGCTGTGGGGCTTGTTGTTGCTAAAACAAAGAGCAAATACAAGAGTTTTTAATTATGCAGGTTGTATTACATAAGTAACAGGTTATAAAGTAATTTATTTTTTTAAATGAATATAATTTTTTTTGGTCTGTACCGGGTAATCACCAGAATGGTTGGAACGCTTTTGATGGGACTTTGACAGAAATATATCTAATGCACATGGGCACATTATGGCCTCATCGTCATCCACTCACTATATGTCATCACTGAGGGGCTCGGAGCCTACCCTAAGTTAAGTTAGTGCTGACTAGGACATAGTATAGGCTACTTTTTTTGATCCTGCGCTAATAAAGTCGCCGTCTACGGATAGTTTGGTTATAAAAACTAACATTTTGTGGTGGTCCTAGTTGTTGGGTAGCCGTTTGGGGTGGGGGCTGCGGCGGCGGCTGCTGTGCTGGGTGTATCACAGTAGGCTGCGACAACACGTGGCCCGGACTGACAAGTTGCTGTAATGATAACAGTTAAAATAACAAAATAATATATACACTAATTAATGCTAAACTTATTGTAAATAGTGTACAGTTGTTCCAGCAATAACATGGTTTAAGTTGTGTTATATGCAACATGGGTTTATTACTTTCTACTTTAAAGATTATAAACATGCTACCTAATAAATACATGGACCATCTTAATAATACATAAGATGTTTTTTGACCTGTTGATATTAGGACCACAATAGATAGTTATAGGTATATGTTATAATGTTATAAATAATGTATTCCATTTACCATAAAAACATAAAACAATCATTACATCTTTTTTTCTTAATTTTCAAATACATAACAAATTATATAATAATTGTTGTGAAATTATTTTAAATTATATTTTACGAATTTTATCCTAATAAAGTAATTTTCGACATTAATGATTCCTAATATTATTTAAAAACTGTTTTTTTTTGTTATAAATTTCCACAAATTTCTAAACTATAATTGTTTTAGTTACATCTATTGACACAGAAGCTGTATAAAGCAATAATGAACATAGAACAAGCATGAAAATGTTAAACAAAAATTCAAATTATTAAAGAAAAATGATTTAAAGATTTCTATTAATATGGTTTTCATTAAACTTTGGACAATAGAAAGAAGTTACAAATAGCTCTCATATTTATCGTAACCCAATTAGGTAGTCATTTCTCATTTGAAAACAATAATACATTATTATTTGTGTAAAAGTATTCAATAACTATTATTTAGTTATTTTGAAATAGGGTTAAATACAAAATTAAAAAAGGTAACTATTAAGTATATCCTTAATTTAAACAAAATGTTTTAGATATTGTCTTTTGAATTTCTTGGTCTAAATATTTGCCTCAACTATCTCTAATAAGATTTGACAGCAAACTACCTTACTGTTTGAAACTACTTCACCTCAAAACCTTAGTTAGTATTAACATAAAAGTAAAAGGTTCATGCTAAGCAAATTATTTAGAATGAAAGAAAATTGAGTAATAAATTAGAAGCTGCAAATTATTGATACAGTGCATGACATTTGACCTATGTACTAAACATATAGTCAATGGACATACATGTTGCGGATGTTGAGGTGATGACTGTTGCATCAGAGATGCATCAATGATCTGTTGGGCCTGTTGCAACACAACCTGAGCATCCACAGGCAAATCAGAGGTGTAGTATACCTATAAATAAATACCTTTTTAAGCGCCAAATACTTCATTTAATTTAAACACCCCTTATTGTTGTAAAGTAATTAATTGCAAATGTAAAAATGTACCCATAGATACAAATAGGGAAATAATTGTTAATTTACTTAACGAATATACTAGATTTTAAAACTCATTTAAAAGGTTTGTAACATTTTTTTTTTGGTTTTGTAATTAAAGCACCTTCATAAAATACATAATTATTTGTTAAAGTTATAGGTTGTTGTAATTTATAGGCAAATGTCACTAGTTTATGTTTGTATATCTTATATTATTTATTTTATCTTTTGTCACCTAGGTTAAAAATGTATAAACTTTGAGTCAGTAATAAAGCATGTTATAAATAAACCAAAAGTTAAAATAAAAGCTTAATTTGTATATGATAAAATGCAGTTCCAAATCAATAACTAAACCATATAAACAAAGGGTACATTCCAATTTATCTTTAAATTTCCAATGCTTTTATGCTTAAAAAATTTATTAATATCTCAAGTTATTTAAGCAGAATAAAAGGGGTATCAATATATATTTTTGTACAAGTGTGACTAGTGCCTAGTCACCCTTAACTTAGGTAGGTTTTAAGCCCCTTTGTGGGCTATATGAGCTAACAATGATAAGTGTGTTGACAGCAGAGAACCATATAAATACTAATAACCAACATTTTGAAATTAGCCAATAATATTACCAGACAATTGGTATAAATTTTTCCAAAATTACTATATTTACAATGAAATAAAAAAAAATAGTTGCTTTTTACAGGAAGTTATGTCTATTTGTTTATTATCTTTACATTGATAATTTCTAATGATACAAATAATTAAAATATAAATTGTTTTGGAAAATATTTAATGATTTTATAAAGATTATGAATATATCATCATTCTATATGTATGATTGTGAACATAATAATTTTAAAAAATATCAGAAAGGTAGATATGAATAAAATATAGTAACTCGTTAATTGTGTATTATATTGGAATTAATATGAAATAATATGTTTTCTTTTATATTTGTTTTAAAATATTCTAGCAATATTATATGTGTGTAGGAGATAGATGTTTAAAATTGGTGCAGTTCAGACCACATACATAATTCAAAAAACTCTTCAAAATTTGGTTACAAATATTATTTGTATTTATATACTCACCTGATGTCTATGTAAGGCCTGTTGTTGCTGCTGCTGTTGTTGTTGCTGGTTTTGTTGTTGTTGGGGTTGGAATTCTGTCCTGGTGGGTTGCTGAGGTTCATGACGTATAATGTATTGTTGTTGATAAGGCAACCCATCTCCAACAACTAGTTGAGGTTGGACACCTTCACTCACTATTATATCACTAGATGTATCTGCTTGTTGCACTACAACCTTATGAGGTAAATAATTTCTTGTCAAATCACAGTAATATTAAAGCAGTGGTGAGGTACCACTTAACCCCTTTAACCCAAAATAACTACTAAAATATTTTTAAAGACCTAATAAAGTCACACTGTTGTTTAATGTTTATTATCAGGATTGAACAGCAGTAAATATTTCTAAATAGTATTTTGGATATAAAGAGAGTCTTTTTTTACTATTGGTTTATTTGTAACTTACTTGTTGTTGGCCATACTGCTGGTCTTCTTGGTTAACAATAATTCCATCCAAACATATATTAGGACAATATCTTTGTAAATCCTCAAGTGTCAATGAAGGTCCTTGCCCAACTATTTGATAATATTGAGCCATTGCAAATGCTTAGCCTGAAATTTATTGGTCATTTTATTGTATCACTATTATTTCGCAAAGTATATAAATATTACCAGTGTTATAATTGCCGTTTATTTATTTAGATCCCGTTAATGTAGTTCTACAAAACAACAGCTATAATTATACATGTATCTTCGATATTTCTCGAGTGGTATGATTTGTTTACAAAATGTAAGCCTTTAATCATAACTAACACTAAGTGTTTTAATGACTATATATTATTGATTACGTTTATTTTGGAACACCTAAGCTTGCAATACAGTTAGGTTTGTAAATTTTGACGATTAACTATTTCATTGACAGGTATTTCATACACCCTGAACTGTACGTACAAGAACAGCAGCAATGACTTCGTGGATCGCGCGGACATCCCAACTATGGCGACGATACGAAAATCCATCCACTCTCACAATTTTTTTAACATTTAATAAATCACACCACTAAGTGACTAAATACAATAGATAACACAAAAATCGTCTCTCGAACCGTTTAGAGCGACAGAACGAAATGGCTTCGATTCTTTTGCTCCAACCTAAATCCTATTCAAGGTGATATTTTAACAAGGAGTAGAGCAACTTTACTCATCAGCATCTTACCAATATTAACTAGGGACATTTTAAATGCCATATGTATACAGTAAAATATAACTTTTAGCATCAAAATGCTAAATTTTTAACTCAAACGCCAAATCTAGAAGCAATTTACATTATGGCGTGTGTGTCACTTTTTTTTAATTGTACGTTTTTTTATCTGTGTTGCTATTTCGAACTGGTATAAAACCATACAAACTGATATAAACCTTTGAATTATTTTTTAATCTGTTGTTAATCTTTTTGTTGTCAAAATTGGAACAATGCATCAATGCATAACACAAATTTGCCTCAAAACTAAATTTTAAATTATTAAACCTATTAAATTAAGTATTTTTATTACTTATTTACCCAATTTTTTGCATGTATTTACATAAAAAAATTGTGAACAAACACACTTTATTATTATTAAAAAGTAATGAAGAAGTATGAAGAAACGGCGAAACATCTTTATACAAAGAGGAGAAATCATTACAAAAAACTTTATTTGCGTGCAAAATGTCCAGTAAACTTTTTTCATACCAATTTAAAATGTTTTGGGCGGGTTTTTGATTTGGATTGGTCGTTAGATTCAGTTAGATTGTTTTCGTTGATCTAGATTTTATTTTTAATCATCTGTGCTGCTCTGCAACTGCAACCAAAGACCAAAGAGTATAAAAGACGACTTGACTGACTGCAACGAAAAATCGTACTCATGTTTATTCAAACGAAATTTATTTTCTTATATTCACGATAGTGCTTGTTATAATATTAAATTCACCTTATTGCGGCCTGTGGATCTGATAATTACGAATTATAACATTTGCATTATTAAATTTGAAGGGTTTTAGGGAATTGAATTTCAGTGTTTCTTATTTACTTGATGACATTTTGTTGCCGAAGTCATTCTTTCGTGCAGTGCAAATGGATGATACAGTAGTCTCTCCAGGTAATTAAAAACATCTGAAACTATATAATTTATTAAAAATTATAGTGTAAAACTTTAGATGTACGATGTACATGATTTTTAGGTAACAAAATGGGCGATTCAGCATCAGAAAGCGATTCCAGTTCTCTCGATGGCGGAGAAAGGCTTCCTCCCAGTACTGTCTCTCGTGATCAGCTGCAGAAGAGAATTGAGTCCTTGCAACAGCAAAATAGGTATTCATTGTACTTTATGTAATAAATATTGCTCACTATTTTTGAAAGCAATACTAGTAGTAGCCATTATTTACCAAGACTGAAAATATAGAAATTATTCCTAGAATAGATTTTTTTTAATACTCAATTCAGATCATCATAATCCTAAGAAGTAGCCATTAATATTATGGTTAGTGTTAATAATTTTCATAACCATTAGGAATTTTAATTCTTAAATTGTATAAAATATCCATTAATGATAAAATAGACATATAGAAATAATAATTCCAAATGCATCAATTACTATTGATTAAATATAAAAAGTTAGATTTATGGCTCAAATAATATGGCTTCATCATCATCAGCTCACCATATGTCCCTACCGAGGGGCTCGGAGCCTACCCTAAGTTAAGGGTGATTAATATGGCTTAATTAGATAGAATTCTTTGCTTGGCTGGTGCAGTGACCCAATGTGTGTCTTGGCCATAAGACTTTCAACAAAGGATTACTTAGAAATGGATGTTAATGTGAAAAGTATATATAATTATATAATACTGTATTCATACTGACAAAAGTTGTAAACCTTATAATACTAATAGCCAAGGCCTACTACGGTCAAAATTTCAAAAGTTTTTACTGTTACTTTTGGTTTCTTTCCAGAGTGTTGAAAGTGGAACTTGATACATATAAACTGCGTGTAAAAGCTCTGCAAGAAGAAAATCGGGCTTTGAGACAGGCTTCGGTATCTATTGTAAGTTATTTAATTTACTTTTAAAGTCATCAATTATTCTTATCAGTAAAGACAGTATTGCAATTGTCTAATTTTTTTTTGTCTATTTAACTAACTAGAATGTTCCCTAAAGTTTTCACCTCTGACAATAAAAGCGTCCACTTTTCTTTATCTGGAATATGTAAAAATTGGTGATAATCTGTTTTTTCACAGCAAGCAAAGGCAGAACAGGAAAAGGAATATATTTCCAATACACTTTTGAAGAAAATTCAAGCTTTGAAGAAAGAAAAGGAGACTCTGGCTCATCACTATGAAAGGGAAGAAGAATGTCTTACTAATGATCTGTCAAGGAAATTGAATCAAGTATGATATATATCTAACTAATATTATAAAGTAAAAAGAAAATATTGTTCATGTACTCAGTAATTTAAGATTATACAACATATAAATTCAAAGTATGAATGTTGTAAAATAACCATTCAAAAGCTAAAAAACAGTATAAAATTATAATATTTTTTACTACTGTAAATAATTTTTATTTTTAGTTACATCAAGAGAAATGTCGCTTGGAACTTACATTGGAACAAGAACAAGAATGTCTGGTCAATAAATTGATGCGCAAAATTGAGAAACTAGAAGCTGAAACTTTAGCTAAGCAAACTAATTTAGAGAGACTTCGTAGGGAGAAGGTAAATGACAATTTTACAAATAATACCATAGATTTTATTTGACTTAATAAAGCACAGGTAAAGTGTTCCATTGATATTTGGTGTTTTAACGTCTGTTGCATTTGTGTAAGTGACATAAATCTACTAGTATTACAACATTGCAGTACAAATTATATTATGAATGTTCTTGTCTTTACATTTATGGTAATATAATCACAAAAATTTATTTTAGATAGAGCTTGAAAACACATTAGAACAAGAGCAGGAGGCTCTGGTTAATAGACTTTGGAAGCGGATGGATAAATTGGAAGCTGAAAAGCGTTCTTTGCACATTAGACTGGATCAGCCTGTTTCCGACCCTGCCAGCCCTAGGTGATTTTGTTAGAATTTATTTATTATAATTACACTCACTGTTTGATGTGAGGATTTAACTAAAACTTTTATTTCTCATAAAAAAATATTGTACCTATCTCTGCCATTCTTAAATCATATTGCATTTTTATGTCGCGATAATTAAAAATTAAAATGTTTCTTCATAGATTTTCATTATGTATTATTATATGTATTTTGAAGTTTTATGTAATTTGGAATAAAACAATGAATGGTTCTTTCTGTCAGGGACATTAGTAATGGCGACACAGCTTCTAACCTAAGTAACCACATCCAGACACTCCGCTCAGAAGTTGTCAAATTAAGGTAAGCATATCTTTTTATAATTCACATTCTCTTCTTTAATCCTTACTAGCTGTCGCCCGCGACTCCGTCCGCGCGTAATTAAAAGTAGCTTAGTAGCCTATGTAATCTTTCGGGCTATGTGCTACATCTGTGCCAAATTTCAGCGAGATCCATCCTACCGATATGAAACATTCGCATTTATAATATTAGTAATAAGTAAGATTTTAAAACTTGTGTAAGATAAGTAAAAAGATTTTTTAACCTTTATAAGCAATAGTTGAGTTTTTTTTAATTGTTGGGTGTGTACCTTGTGTTTTTATCATCATCATCAGCTCACTAAACATCCCCACCGAGGGGCTCGGAGCCTTCCCTAAGTTAAGGATGGTGTTTTTATAGGTAAATTAAGATAAGATATCGTAATTAAGCTTGGTTGAACTGAAAAAAATATGTTACTTTTTCATACAGAAACCAATTGGCCGTGTCGCAGAATGAGAACAAAGAAAAGATGCATCGTTTCGCACTGGAAGAGAAATACATAAGAGATGAAAATATTCGTTTGCAACGAAAACTTCAACAGGAGGTAAGATTATTTAAAAGTAGAATAAGTTGATTAAACATTAAGCTATATAAAATTGTTAACGGCAAACTATACATTTATGTAAAAAAATAATACAGGTGGAACGACGTGAGGCTCTGTGCCGACATCTCTCCGAGAGCGAATCTTCACTAGAAATGGAAGAGGAAAGGCAATTTAATGAAGCCATGGGCGTAAGTACTTGTATTGTTTCTGTCACATTTATCCTCAAATAACATTACAAAACATAACATTTCAATGGACAGTAGTCACTTCACTATTAATGTGGATTAGATGACCGCTTGCTCATTTGCCATCTTCGATTATAAAAAATCATTAATTTTGTGTTTTAATTGTGATGTATATGGTTTGTCAGGCGCGGTCTCGCAGCGTGTCGTCTCCGGGCGGGTCGCGGCCGCTGTCGCCGTACGCCTCGCCGCTGCTGCCCAACGCCGCCGGCCTGCCCATGTCGCGACCCAACATGCATTTCAACTCACAGGTCACTAATGTTAACTCATTTACCTCTTAGCCAAATTCTTCTATCTTAAAGGATACTTTTTTGGAATGGAGAAAATAATACAAATTTACTCGCTACAAAATTCTGGAATTATTGTAAGACTAGCGGTCGCTTGTGACTGCGTCAACACAGAAAAAATAAAATTATAATACGCCCGGGCACATCAGCTACCTTTCTGCTAAAATCGGTCCAGACGTTCCGGAACGCGGTTTGCGGACAATCATACAGACAGACGGAACAGCAACGTGAATACATCACGTCTCAATATGATTTTTTTCTCGATATTACAGTCACTCCAATTATGTTATTGTTTATAAATATAATAGTTATTTGATGTGTGAACTCTTGTGTGCAGACGCGACGCTGCGAGCGGTTCGTGAAGCCGGCAGTGCCGGGGGCGTCGCTGCTGTGCCGCGGAGGGCCGATGGATCCGCTCTCGCCCGCGCCCCACGCCCCGCACGCCCCGCACGCGTCGCCCGCCCCGCCCCCGCTCTCGCCCGCCCCGCCCTCGCCCAGCGCGGCCCTCGCGCCGCTCCAGCAGCCCGCCAGCCCCATGGACACCTCCTCCAAAGACTAACTCACCACGTACCAACAATTAAAATCAAACTCTTTACCTATTTATGCTGAATTTCTCATAAAATTTGATAATTGGAAAAACAAGTATATAGTTGCACAAAGGCAAGCTACAAATCGTTGTTGTAATCCTATATCTGCTGAGATTTCGAAATTTTCATTATAATTGTTAGATCATCGAATATATTTCAAGATATAAAAATATTGCTGTGACTTATTACTTGTAATAAAAAAAAACTCGAAAAATGCTTGGAGCCTGAAAATTGTCTTACGAGATGTGCTATGCGATAATGATTTTTGTGCTAGATCATTCACTGCTTTGAAAACAGTCATAAAGTAAGGTTGAAAACATATTAATCTTTCCATTTTTGACGCTCTGACGTCAACTGATTTATATTGTAACTGATAAAAATAAATAAAAAACCTTTTATAAATGTGTACTTTGGTTTATAAATACTATCACTGAATGTAAAAGCACTGAATATTTAAAAAGGAGTTTGATTTTATTACTTATGTGCGTCATTTAGGAGGCTTTGAAATGATCACAAAAACGAGCCATCTAACGTAATATTGGCAACTGATTATGAATATAATTCTTCACTAGGCTTATCATAGCTATTAAAAAATTCTTAGATTGCCTAATCAGTCTGTTATACCAGGACTTGACAATACTTGACTTCATAATAGTCATAGACAGTTGAACATGGATAAACGAGAGCTGGATACGCGAGAGTTATTGCCCGGTCTTGACGGACGAACTTTATAAGCGAGAAACTCGTACATAAGACTCTCATTTATCGCGGTTTGACTGTAGCTAAATGCTTTAATTGTTTCTCTAAAAATTAAATCCTCTTATTTTGAATTTTAACAGCAATGCTTTTTAAATAACTTTTATTTGTATAAAAGTGTAATTTAAGTTATTCTTTTTAACTGTAAAAGTTAGTATTGTTTGGTTCTGAAAGTTTATTATAATGTGACTATTATTCTATACTGGGAATTATTTCATCTGGAATTTTTTTTTAAAATTTTCATCTGAAATAAAGCAAGCTTATTTTTTTACTTCAACATAAAAAAATCTGATGATTAACCGAACATGATGAACGTTACCAATACTATCCGTGTACAATAACATGATACCATCAACTGACGTCTGAAGCTGTACTACTTTCGTCCATTAGATATGTGACGTCCTCTTTTTGGTAAACTCTGAAAAGCGACATATTACGTCTGATCCAGGATTCATGTTATTGTACACTTTACCGGAGGCCTAATTTTAGTTCCCTTTCCTTTCTCACCTTTTTCGGATTAGTAAAAGATGAGAAGGGGAAGTGGATTTCGTGGAGGGGGGATGTATAGGAAGGGGAAATACCTTTCAATGCATCTCCTTCTTCGTTGATTTAAGGTAGGCAACGCATCTGCAATTGCAGATGTCTATAGGCAGCGATCACTTCGAATTCAGTGGCCGCTCGCTCGTTTGCCATCTTATGATATGAAAAAACACGGAGAGAAAAGATTTGTGTTAAATCACTTCCCTCTATTGAGCAACGATGTAACAAATAATTGTATTTAAATGGAAAATTATGGTCTTAAATAAAAATTAACTTGTTATTCAATACAATCTGTTCTGAAAAAGTTAAGTGAAATTGTTGAACAATTGTTTTAACTTTATTGATTTTGATATGATACACATTCGGACAAGACATTTAGCATCGGCATACCGTCTCATTACCGATTTAAACATTAAAATAAACAATAAAAAATCCAATATAAATATACTTGTAATGTCATGTAGAAGTGGAACTCAAAAAAACAAATCAAATGTATGATGATTTATAACTATGGTAATTTGTAATTAGTGATTGTCCTCGCTGTGAACAGCTAAAGCCGATTTTCTCAAAATAGTGATTTTGTAATATAACTGCGAAATCGTTGGATTGTGAAATATATACGTCCTGGATGCTCACTGCCCTAGCGACTGCTGGCTCCCTTTGTAATATTGTCTAGAAACGTATATGCTTATAATGCTGCTAATTTTGATTAATATGCTTGTGGGAGTTTGCAAGTCCATTTGAATGACATTATCTTTTAGTCGTGTTGCAAGCGAAAAGTCGTTAAAAGCGATTACTGTTATTTGTGTTACCAGTAAATGTTTACTGGTAATGCGTTATATGCGTTATATCTTAATTCATTACGATAATAACGTATTTAAACTTATTTATATAAGATCGATATTTTCTATGTATTAACATTAGGTGGATCTTTTGCCTTTATTACACCTAATGTGAATAAATGAGTACGCTCGATTATTATGGCTTAGATACGATGGTAACCATTCTGTCTGTGGCCTTGAATAAACGGCAGTGGGTTTATTTATAGGTGTATAAAATTCACTTGTGAATAAGGGTTGTAGGTGGTAAAAGATTGTATTGTATTGGATGTATGGCGCTCGGCGTGTAAAGCGCTACTTCCTAGTGTCGAGGTGTATGATATATGATTATTTTACGTATGTTTTGTTGTGCTCTCAAGAGCGTCTTTGTTGTGTTCGGTGGACACTCGCGGGGTAGAGCCTCATCGCCTACTGACTCGATTCAACTGCAAATTTTCACTTAAACGTTTTATTATTATTATTTTTCAATGTTAATAAAGAAAATATATGCATTAATATTATAATGTGTTTGAATATAACTTTCCTATTTTATTCCTGTCCATCTTTATAATAGTGCATTAAATTCTATAACTTTTAATTTTAACATTTGAATTTAGAACAATCCAATTTATAAATTGTCAAAATTTTAATTTCATAGACATATGACAGAAGATAAAATAGGTTTTTGTTAAACAACCTGTGAATTTGCTACTACAAGACTTAGTTCATGAGATCAGCTTTTCAGTGTCCTCATTTCGTAGCGACCTTCTCGTTGAAAAAAATTTCCTATACTGTACGCAGAAACTGCCGATTTAGGATTATCTTGATATTCCGTAGGTAACTGTTGAGTCACAACTAAGGAATTTTATATTCATGCCGAAAGAATTAATTGCATGCCGTTTTTATATTGAATAACAAATTAATCAGCCTTTACCTTTTATTACAAAAGTTAGTGAATAGATCAATTTAAAAGTTATTGTTTCTTTTATGCTCATGCATTATTACAAAAGAGGCACTAATCCATATTCATTCGCGTAGAGTATCCTCTAATAATCGTAATCATAGTAAAAAATGCGTTCAATATTTCAAAGGATACAAAATAAATAAATTGATAACATAGGTCGGCGGCATAGCCTCTGTTGCTGATTTTTGTCGCCATTCGGCACCTTTAATGGTCAGAGAAATAATCGTGGTTTACACACGCGTCATAAACCTAAGCAAACCGGAGACAGTCAGGACGACGGTGTTTACCTTGGTCGCAAGCGTTGTTCGCTGCTAGGGTTACAGGTAACACGATTTGCATAATGCCTCCCACGATGATTTTTTAAACTGAAAATTTTTTATGGTCTACAAACTATCGACGGACCAAAGTAGCCGATACACCAAGTATTGCTAAAGTGTACAAATAAAACGAATAAATAGCTTTAGCATAAAACATTATTTTTTCGCTCTTGTATATATTACAAGATAGATAGGGGATGGGACCACTTGTATACATATCAATGAATAATACGTCACCCTACATTAATTAAATAAAAAATGTAAGTCAGTATCACGTAATTTTATCAGAACATGGTTTTTGTACCTCTACTTCAAACAAAGAATCGCGTTAACATTTTAAATAAAGATCATGAGAACATATTCAAAGTGAACCGAGTTTGAAATTTAGATTTAAATAGAAACGCAAAGAGCAGCCCGAAAGGCGACAGTCGTAAAATGTAATTGTTTGCTAACCACGAATAGTTGGTGTAGTGCTATTGATCCTTCCAATAATTATCGAACACGTTTCATGTCACCATGTTTAAGCGCGTGTTTAAACACGAAAGTGGACGAGCATGGCGGCGACGCGTCGAGTCGGGCTTGTTTATAAGTTTACGTACGGAATCGTTAAGCCGAGGTAGGCAGTAGGTAGAGCTAACAGAAAATACGAGACGGCTGAAACGACGGCCGGATGACGCGAAAGTATTTTTAGTGTACCCTCAATATTTTCGGGTCCTGTATACGTATATTGTTTAATTTTGTATTAAAGTATTATTAGGGTTAACATTTATTAGATGGTAATTTTCATAGTCAGGATTGAGTGACGGTATATCGAATAAATAGTAAAGTAGGTTAATCTTTATCAGTATTTTTCTTTCGGTTGTTGAATTCAATTCAATTAATTATTTCGGTCCTGCTTGTCTTTTATTGTAAGTTTTCACAATTTTATTTTCCACATCTACGACGTTAGTACCGAGTTGAACCCGGAACTTTAATATTACAAAACATAGGACAAGCGTCAGCTACTAAGTTTATGTGTACAGTAAACCTTGTTTTATTCTCACTAATTTCGTCAGTGTGTTGTTTTTGATTTCGGTTGTGACATGCGATGATGTCACAATTTAAGCAACATTTGATGCTATACCTATACAGATAAACTATACACCCGGATGCAAAATAATTCGTCACGAATTACTACACTTAGGCCAATTAGATAGTTTTGTTGCATAATAGAGTTTTTATTATTGTTCAATAGGATAGCATTTAAGAAAAATCTATCACATTTATATGTTGGATGAAATTTATTTTTCACGCTGACATTACTAAACGAAGATATTATTTGCTGATCGTAATATTTACAAATTCCAAATTATCTATTTATATTTCGCTACCAATATACATAATTAAATAACATATTGTAATTAGCTCGGTTATGGTTACCAAGCGTTATAAATGGTTCACGTAAACTCTGTAAATGGTCCCCGGGGTCCCTAAAATAAATTAATGAAAAACGGTTAAATTTTGTGAGTTTGTACAAAATATAGGTGGTAAACGTTGATTTTCTATCAAGTAAATTCGAAACCGCTATCTTTAGCGGGTCGTTAACGCTTCGACAAATGGCTGTAAAACATTCGGACAAGAGTGTTGCCACTCAAACAAACTTTATTTATTTAATTGTAAAACTAATTACTTTTTCCCACGTATACTTTACGGTTATTAGGTGATACCGTTCAAATGTTAAACGAATCAAAAATAAACATAACGGTTATTTGTTAAAATCATACCACTAATCTAATCATAGCAGCTAGTACTTGTATCTCTTTTGACATATACGTGATAAAATAAAATCGTCAATTCATTGAACAAATACTGAAAAATGATACTGCTTTTTAATTGAAGCACAATTTATAAAATGTTACGAATATCATCTGATAGTGTAAAAATTAGTAAATATTAAAAAGTTTTGAGAAAACACAAAACAAAGCTACTTTTATTACAAACAATCTTCCAGATATCGTCGTGAGTCAGCAGAGAGCGTACCTAAAGTACACACTGAATGGTTTTAGTTCAAGTTAAAATCAATATTTGTTGTTAACAAACAAAGTTGGTGTGAGCGTAGTCTAGACAAAGATATCTAGCAATGTATTACATATATAAATATATACATTCTGACTATTTTAGTCATCATATGATTCTATTATCTATGACCATTTTAGGCGAGTGTTTATAACTTTCCTTCTAAATAAAGGTACTATAAATCGATTACACACTGAGCTTGTCTTAGCGCAAGAAACTAAAAACTTATACTATAGGGAAAGACGTAGAAGATAGGTCGCTACCAAAAAGCATAAAATCACCATATCTTTACCCTTATATTTTAATGGTTCGATAATTAGGATGAAATGCAATAGGATCTATTTTAACGTTATAGACCGGACGTAATAGCGATGGTTCTAAATACCTAGAAGTATATGATATGTAGAACTTTATGACATTCTATGTATAATAATAATAAAGTTATGTTAGGAACCACATATTACACATAAATATTAATTTTAGAAGGTATTATAATTCTAGGCATATAATTCTAGTAAGGTCATAAGTATATATCAGATTTAGACTCGCGCGACTTATAAACATCAAAATACGAAACTGTAAATAAAGTTCCAACTCTACGCATAATGATGTCTTACTCATCTGCCGGGTAATCCTCTAAGCCGTTATTATGTATTCAATCCGAAGACAGATATGGTGTGAGATAACGAGGCTAAATAGTATTTACGCTAAGGTGTTAATTTCAGGAGTTTAGAGTAGCGTGAATTTTATTTATATGAAAAGTTAATTCATGCCCTGCTAGCGCGTAGTGTTTAAACGGCGGAGTTAGCACGGGGCTCCGAATAAACAGAGTTGCGCCGTGTAAGTACGCGCGTGTTCCCTCGCTGCAGTGGTACAGCTGTCCTCAGTGCTCAACGGTGACCATCTTACGATCCGACACTTTTCTTTTGTCACCTTGGAATTTAACTTTAACTATTATATTAGTGCGAAAAACGTGCCTAACTGAACATTTACTCAACTCACTTAAATTTCATGTTTGTGATATGTTGTTGAAATTCTTTTTTTTAATAAAGATCTTTATTTAATCTTTATATAACAAAACCACATACACTTAGGTACAAACAGCATCCGCAACGCGGGTCCGATGTTGATCTAGAGTAATGTTTTAAGCAAACAGACGAATTAAATAAAATTGGGGTCCAGTAGTTTCTAAGAAAGGACAGGCAAGTTTAAATAAGCTATGTATGAAAGGTTTGTACAAACTCCTTTGAACATCGTTATGGATGCTTATTTACTTTGAATATTTTTCAATATAAACTTTTGGAACACTTATAACTACAACTAAAGTTAAATTGGAAATTATTTTATTTCCACTGCTTCAGGTATTTGATTGTTTAATGCGTTGTGGACATACCGATCATCTATGCAGTAACACCAACATGTAAATTATAATTTTGATCATCAACATGCCTAGTAACATTCTTGAACATTATATATCTGACTATCTATAAAGGTTTAGTAAAGTTACCTAATTTTTAAACGTGGAAATTCTAATAAAAATATGTCAAATGGAGAATGAACTGTTCCACAGATCCATTTTGGGATCATTTGAAATCTATGACATGCCCATAAAATAAATGATACTTTAGCTTCATATGTGCTAGTTGTATGTCTGTAACGTTCGGTTATAACGGTCGTGTGTTTAAAAATGAAACGTTTCTGTGGAGAGCATTGAGCCCGGTCGTTGTTTGAGGTTTCCTTTAGCAATTAGCACCCGGCCGGCCGGCGGACCGTAACTGGGTGAGGCGATGGAATGCTGACTCCGTGCTGGCGGCTGACGGCCACTGACTACTCCAAGATAGTGTCGATAGAGTGCGCGGCCCGTTGTGAAAGCTACCTATGATTATCGGCAAATCGCAACGTCACATCTATGCGCGGTGATGTCTATGCCTAGTTTTTTATGGAATTGTATACTTTACGGCGAACATGCCGAAAGTATCAAAAACAAATGGGTATTATAGTAACAAAATACATTTTTTTAAATTTACAACATGCAGAGTTTGTTACGTCATGTTTTTATATTGCAAAATCAAAAAAATATAAATAGAGGTTTATAGACATCGCCGTTTTGAAATAACTTACAACTTTCGGTAATTTTGATTTTACTGAAAGTGGCACAAACTTTATTTTTGTAAGACTAAGATTTTCTACTCCAGGGTTCTTAACTTCTTATCATCACCGGTCTAAACTGATGGTCAGGATACTATTATAATAATGTTTTTAATAAATAGGAACAATCTTAGCAAAATAAAAAGATATTAGCTTTGGTACGAATATACTGTTATGTATTTTAAAGTTATTAATTTATCAATGCTCTTATCTTGATAATTTCAAAACAACATTTTTATATCCATTCGTATTTAAGGTATAACAATAGCGTTATTAAAAAGATACGACTTTTTTAATAAACTTTTAATCATATTTTAAAAGTAAACGCAGTATATTAAAAATAAAATTAATAGAATAATTTGAAAGCACATTCCGTGCGACAGGCTGCGCAGGATTGTCACGGTAGAGGGCAGACAGCGCCACCAATCCCTCGCTTTGTCAATACGCTAGAGGCGGAGCCTTGTCGACATGCCCGTGGAAATCTTCTCCGCACCTGAAATCAGATAAAATAAAACTTATCACCAAAATAATAGAGTCTATAATCGTCTAAGTTACGATTATCAAATGATTCATTTCATTAGTGTTATTTAGACTCTATACTATAGAGATAGAGATGGTTTTGCAATGACGAAAGGTACTAATGGTGGGTTTGTTATTTTGTGTGCATGCTAATGAAGTGTGGTGCGGACGAGTTTGTGGTAGTTGCTCATGCAGTAGGCACGCCTGCACAGATTTGCTGCTATGTGATAAAATTATAAAAACAAAATATAAACTATATTATTTTGACATTTCATTGATTATTTGTGTAAAATGTGTCTTACAATATGTTTTGTGTTGTGAACTTCAGTTAAGTTTTTAATTTTTTAAAGTGTGAACGTAAATAAGGATATAACGAAATTATAAACGGTAAGTCCTAAGTAAATTGAACAAGATATATTAACATTTATTATTTTAGAAAATTAATTGAAAAGTTATAACTTTATTTATTGCTTACAATTATGATAGACGAATCAGGAAAACCTATTTTCTTTACCTCGATGAACATGGTCTGGAAAAAGGTGCGCCGGCGCATCATCGGTAAGGGTTTAACTTATAAATTCAACTCGTGAACTCTGGTCAAGTTACATTTTGCCTATTTAAGAGAAGTAATCTATTAAATGTAGAAAAAGTAAGATGTCTTGTTAAAATACGTGATAAGTGATATATAATGTAATATAAATAAATCTTTGTTAGTTTATTGTTAAAAATTGCATTTGTTTTAAATAAATTAAAAACTTTAAATTTATATGTATGTTCTTTTAAAGTATTTATAAATGAAGAAATTTTGACCATCTGACTATGAAATTACTTATATAACATTGTCCACAACATTCACACTTCTTTTTTTAATAACGTATAATAATATAAAGCTCGTAATTGCAAAAATTTTAAAGAAGTTTTATTTTTACAAACAACAATACGACGTTATCGTGACTGATACAGTATTACTTACGTTGCAAATAAAATTAATTTGCACATACCATTGCGTTTAGCAGTTTTTACGACTGCAGTGCAGTAGTATAAACTGAGTAAATCGTAAACACATTTATTATTGGCACTAAGTTCAATTTATCATCTCGGCCCATTTTTATAGGCGAGTTATTAATGTATAAAGGAAGTTATCGCTGTGTGTATTGTGCGCGGGCGCAGTGGGCACCGGGCATTGTGCCGTGCAGATAAGACAATGTAAGCGCGGTCGCGCTGCGCCGGCGCAGGCGCACAAAGCGACGGACCTTCCGTCATCGGCCGGCGAGGCCTATCGGCGCGTCCGCCTCGCCACAAAGCCCCACAATAAACTTTTACAACTCACATAAAACCCTGACTTTTTAACCCGAGTTATTTGAATTAATATCAATTCGGAGTTTCTCAATGGGCTTTACTCGTCAAACTCTAAAGTTTTATGACAACCTCAAAACTGAGGAATAAAATTTAATTGAAATGTAGAACCCAAAAAAATTGATTGCGGTTATCAGCTTCCGAATTTGAATATTTACATAAAATATTTTCAGAGGCATAAAATTGATTCTACTAGATTTGGGCATCGAACGCGTTTATGTCTTTTGTATGAAAGAGAAATGTCTACGTAATTGTGAAAGTCACATTCAAGAATTCGAAAGATGTTTAATTTTGGGTAATTATAAAGCGACGGTTTTAATCGAATATGCGTAAAAAATTGTAAACATTTTCCTAAAGAAAATCCTCCTTGGGTACTTTAAATTTAAAGATTTAAATTTTATTTTGATTTGTAAAGACAAACTTTATTGATCGTGCTTTGTGGTTGTTTGATTTTTGTCTATTGTTTGATTAACATATCAAGGCTGACGGTCGTATACACGCCGAGTGATAATAAAAATTCAAGTTTGAAACGTCGATGACGCAAGACCATTAAAAATACTTACTTGAGTTTTCGGCATCGTTCCATTTGCATAGCCTCCTCGGCCTTCATTACGCAGCCGTTCTGCAAACTTTGAAATTGGAAAAGCCAACACGAGCTATATTGTTTCAATGGTTTCAATTTCGGTCGAGTCGGTCTTGCATTTGATAATTAGCACCTCCCGGCTCGCATCGTTACATACCTACGGCCGCGGCAGCGGGACAATTGGCCCGATACAACACGCACATAGCGTCCGCTTTATCGAAGCGAGTGCCATAAACCTTCGATGGGTGATGGCTGCTCCTTTCGTCGCAGCCGTCCGAGCTCGTTGTTATCTTCAATATTTTATAGGGATCAGTAAAACGACGGCACTGCAAAGCGATTAAGCGACATTCCACGTGTCCGTCGACACGAGTCCATTTCGATGTTCGGTGCGCGGGGAAGCGATGCCCGGATGCTGCGCCGTCGATCGCGCGCCGACGTAATTTCACGTCCCTAATTAAAAGGCGATAAAAATTTACGAGTGCGTCCGCTCGCTTTTGTATATTTTGTTGAGATCCGCATACAGAGTTAGATACGCCGGCGAGACCTCGGCTCGCACACCATATTTAACTTCACCATTAAAAAGAAAATGTTCGCAATTCATCTATACGACTCGACTTTAATATTTATACCTCATGGAGTCGTAAAACGATGAATAATGACGATGCAGACGAGTGGGCTAGTGCTGTAATTACTTTGCCTTTATACACTTGTTGGTACTCGCCTTGACGCTAGTGCCTAGTGCTTTCTTGTTGTTTAAAACTTACTCGTACCTGTTGCGGCCATACGATAGGAACCTTCGCTGCTATTCTTAATGCTTCGAAATAAAACAAATACTTAGCCAAACATCAGTTTTTGTTCCAGGTTTATAATCTAAAATAGCAACATTTTATTAATATACAGTAACAAAATATCAGCCGAACAGGTATAAAGTATTGCCTTTACTTATTTCGATCACAATTTTACTACAAAGTATAAACTTAAAACAATACAGTGTCTTTAACACCAAACACTTTAATGTTGCAAATTTATTTTACTATTGCGCGGTTTTTTCATAACTTCTTACCTCATACAACTAGCAATTGTACTGATCTGCTTTCAGCGGTATTTCTGTACCAATTGGACATAACGTCGTTAAAAAAAGAGCTTCTATAGTTCCATTTATATTGTAAATGTATGGGCGGTAACGAACACTTAACGTGTCGGAACCCGAATAGGAACAAATGGCATGTTTCAGTAGCTACCTTGTTTTATAAAAAAGCTAAATAAACGTAAAACTTTGTTACCATCAAAAGGGCCCAAAGCTCATTGTGATATACATAAATGCTACAACAAATTGTTGCATAAAAGCAAATTTTAAAACGACTTAATTTCTAGAAAATTAATGTATCACAAATAACTTTAACTTTTTCTACGAACAAGTATAAGGTTAATAATATCTACATATTTATAATATGAAAACGGTGAAATTAGACCATGATTTGAATTAGCAGACACCATAATGTTTATGTCCTTTAAGAATGTAATAAAATTAACAAATGTGATTGTATCTTAAGATTATGAGTACACATGCTTTGAATCATTTATGTGATATTAAATAAAGGATAATTTAGATAACAATTCTTATTACTTACATATTTTCCCTATTAAAAAGGACGTATATATAAATAAGACATTTATCTATCATACGTAAGAAAAAATTAACCGCAAGCACAATTTTTTATTCGATGAGATGTAATATTAGAAGAAATTTCTAAAATATATCTTTGATGCGCGGTTATAAACTAGAAAATTATTTTTCAAATAAGACACATACGAAAACAATTTAGTAAATCTTAGAAAAAGTATGAACTATCGTGAAACGCTTGCATAACAGTGGTAGAGCCCGCTTTAACATCTTCGCACGAATTGGCCCGGCTCGCCCGGTGAAATACCACGACCACACAGAAGACAGGCGTGAAGTGGAAGCCATTCCGTTTCGTCTGATGAGTGTGCGTCCCGGAGACCTAATTTAGTCCTCTTTCCCTTCCCACCCTTTTTCTTAAAAGGAAAGGATGGGAAGTGGAAGTGGACTTTCCGGATGAGAGGATGCATGGGAAGGGAAAATATTTTCTTTCTTTGCATCCTCTCCTCCGTCCATTAAAGGATAGGCAACGCATATGCAATTGCGTATGTCTATGGCCAACGGTTACTTCGCTATTTCAGCGATTTCAGGTGGCCGCTCGCTCGTTTGCCACCTTATGATATATAAAAAAAAATGCGGCCTAACGACTAATGAAACTGCGACTTAAGTTTTAATTTAAATGTGAGCGTCGTCAAGCACTTGACTTGCAATCTGGACGTCCTGGGTTTGAATCCCGCCTTGTACTAACGTGTTTTTCGATTTCCGATTGACATATGTACATTTATCCGACATTCTTACGGTGAAGAAAAACATCGTGATGCAAGCTGCACATATCTGAGAAGAAATTCAAAGATATGTGTGAAGTCAACCAAACCGCATCAGACCAGCGTGGTGGACTATGGCCTAGTCACCCTTGATTTAGGGTAGGCTCCGAGCCCCTCAGTGAGGACGTATTCATTCATTATCGTCAGCTAACTGACGATGATGAATGGGAAAGTAACCGTGGAAGTCTACTGCCATGATGATTGTATTGATATAAAAATATTGTTGACTCAGTTTCCAAAAAGAATGCGGTGGTTAACAATACTTTTGTAGAAATGTTTAAACTATTGAAATCCACAGTAAAAATACAATTTAAGTAGAAATTAAAATCCGGCGGTATTGTCAAAATTTAACATAGCCGGGAACCTGGTAACCGACACCGGCGCAGTCGGCCGACGATAATGACCACGATAAACATTGGAAGCGAAGATCGTGAGCCAAACTTACAATAAATGTCCGGCTCGTATTTGCTATCATGATTCGTGATGCTTTCAGTTAAAATTGTGGATACGTGTATTGTAAACTGTGTACACTAGACTATTTATTTATACGTAAGTCTAACGTTATTTGCTCTCGCGATTTTTTCGTTACATTTACAACTGTAATATCTAATATATAAAATTCTCGAGTCACAATTTTCGTTCCCATACTCCTCCGAAATGGGTGACCGATTCTCATGAAATTTTGTGTACATATTGAGTAGATCTGAGAATCGGCCAACATCTATTTTTAATACCGCGCGGAAGGAGTCGCGGGCGACAGCTAGTTTGTATTATAAGTTTCGTCAAATCTTAGGCGACGATTTAATAACATAAATTAGGTGTGTAAAATAACAATCGACAATTATACAACATCTGTGCAACCGTTTTGTTAACATTGAATCTACGGCGTAGCTGTATAGTATTATTACCTGTATCAGGTGACCTTCTGTTTGCAGGATACAAACAGTATTAAACATAAGAACTGAAAATTCTGAAACCATTTTACCAATACTATTTTCTTCACTTATGACTTTTAATAGTAAATGAACTTATCGCAATACATTTCACACCGACATTTTGTGTAGTGTGAAACTTAACATATATGGACAAGTGTAAAAACTGTGGAGCAAATAACACAACATTTAGTGTCGGGGGTGTGTTTACGATACATGTTACTGTTTCCGTTTCTTGTTACCATTGCACGTAACTCTCGACATAGGCCAGTTAAATTAAGCGAAATTAAGTAGTGATGCTACAATAATTCGCAAAGAACAGTAAATTGAACGCTGAAAAGTCATCGGTCCCGCATTTGGATAAAATGCTAAGGTCAAAAGTCTCAAGTAAGGGTTTTGCGCGTTTTTCGGCAAAATTTTAAGTTCTATCAAAAAATTACCTTGAAACGAATTATATCGTAAAAGAATCTATACAAAAATCTCTACGTACGTTTTCCTCAGATCTCACTTTTTCATTATTTTGGTAATCCGCTTAAAACCATATTATTACTTTATAAAAGACTCAAAACCATATACTGATTGTACAAACATGAGCTTGCAATCACAAATATTTGATTTATCTTAAGTTTAGATACGATGACGTTTGTTATATAAAGGATTAAAAGGTTAAGTATTTGATGTTTGACTTCTTTATTCTATCTGAACAAAACAAACAGATCACACACGCAGAAGCTTCTGTTGAATCTGTGGAATTTTATTGGACGCCTAAAAATCTTACTACCTTATTTCTAATAATACAAATGCGTAAGTTTGGATGGATAGATGGAATTTCGCGCGAAGACGCAGGATACAGTTAGTATTAAGCTATCTCTAAATTCCATATTATTGCGTTATCCTATGTTTTGAAAATATTAATAAAACTCGTTTATTATTATGTTCAAAAAATTACAATTTAGTAAATCTTTTTCGTTCTTTCACATTTCTTCGATAAAATTTCACTTCGCGATTTTCCTGAAAAACAAAGGTTAAGTTATAAAAAATAAAGTCAAATAGATTCTATTCTGTATATAGATTATTATCAAAACATTTGAAAGTCTAAAAACAGTAGATACATACGTTAAAAACAAAAAAGCCTTGATGACATTTGGATACCACATTTTATGTGTGACAATATAATTATATGACACACCACATGGAACCTCTTTTCGGTGACCTTTTAAGTCGGTAATCTTGAATCAAAGGATTGACGTAAGCCTACGAGTTAAATTAAAAAAGGTGATAAAATCTAGAATATTATTTCATAGAAAAGTTAATATTTAAAATACACGATTTTACTAAACAAGATAAGAAAAACAAAGATAAGGTTAAAGTTGTTTTAAATTATGTAAGAGAATAAACTATATACCACATAAAATCATTATGTGCAAAGACTAAATAAGTGTTAAGTTTATCAACAGACGGACGATGTTCAAAATATTCATTAAATAAAAACCTTTAACACCTTTAAAATTGAACATAAAATTTAACAGTTAAAGTTAATGCGTACAAGAAGAGCAAATACTTATAAATTAATAAAAAAAAAACAACTTTTTTGATTTTAATTTGAAAAACAAAGCTTTGATTATGAATTAAGGTTGAATTTCGACCAGTGAGCGACCACTCCTTAAACTTAAATTAATATTACCTGAAAAAGCAAAAAATTATACAACTCATGTTATTTTTGTACCAAATAAGTATTTTATACTAACATATTATAGTATGTTATAAATTGATTTAATTTACAACTTTATTGAGATCAAAGTCAAATTAATAATTTAATTTTAATATAGTATACCTTAGACAAATTCCTTCTGTTTTCTTAGAACTTTGTAATAGCGAGGTCAAAATTAACGTTATTCGATCACAAGAATTGCACATAAACTTAATAAGCTATTTGTATACAATATTGTACGCTTTGTTTTGCTACTAAGTAAATTAATTGTAATTAATAGCCAGTAAAATATAATCTGTCATATTTTATATATTTAATATCACTTGTCATATAGTTCAAAGTTTATGATTATCATAAATAATTTGTTTACATTGATTTAATTAAAATTCTTAGAATTTATTTCTGCATAATTGTATTTATATTTAACATTATTTTAACCTTTGTTATTTTGGGAAAGGTTGGCAAATAAGTATTATAATTTTCGGGTGCAGTTTTTAACCTCACTAAGTTTTTTCGCCCTAACTAACCTCTTTAACGAGGTCTTTGGTCAAGTAGAAAGAAGTTAGTAAAGTATTTTAATTGAGAATAGAATATATGGTTCGTCGTTAGCCTTTTAAGTCACAACTAAGAAGCTCGAACCTTTCCTAACTTATGAGTTAATTGGGCTTAGTCAACCATGCTAGCCCAGTTTCAATTGTTTGGCTTCGTACACCTTCTTACAATCCCCCTTCACCGTATGAATATCTAATAAAAAACTTCGGAATAACATCTAAAAAAAATTGTAAAGTTTTTTGACTTACGAAATCATAATTTCATTGCTGCATAGGCACAGCTGGCAGAAATTTTCGTCACATAAAAACTTTCAATGCCTCGTTACTTTCTAAAATTTACCTTGACGTGGGTATGGATTCTAGTTGTTTTGACACGATGCATTCACTTATATAGTTTTGTTGACATACTTCTATTTATAAACTTTTTTTTAAGTAACACAACACTGGGAGATGTTAACTGCTATGTTTTATTACAAATTCGAATTTAGTTTAAATTCGTACGTTTGAAGCGTGTTAAAATGTCACTGCTTTCAGAGACTGGATCTCATCGATAACTAAGTAAATGATTCTGCCAATACATCATTTTGTATAAGGTTTATATATTTCATGTTCTATCATTCCAGAAAAAGCCGCAGTGATATGGTAAATATTGTTTAACTACTTAAATGTCTCCAAAAGCCAGCAGTGTGTATACACGTGGCATACATAGTTAACTGTTTTTGCTGACGGTATTGGCTTCGTAATAAGTTCTTCACGCTTCGAATGGACTGCAATAAACCAATAAAACTTCCGTTATAAACTTTACTTTTCCTACTAATAAATATTTTCGACTTGTTTATTCTAAAATAAGCACTTAGAAATCCAACTTAAATACACATATTTGTTTCTTTTGATAATGTAGGATGTTCCTACCGTTACTTATATAAACTATACTAAATAAAATAATTGAAAAGAAAACTATTTAAAAATCAATAAACTACTGCATACCGTATAACACATCGGAACCAACGCGTCGGAAGGATCGAGTGACATTTCATTGTTCAAAATTATCCGAAACGGTTGCTGAAAGTAATATTGAAATAAATATAGTAAAACTAAATATTATACAGCTCCGATCACCAGTGAGGTATTTGAAAGAAACGCCCTTTGCTTTCTGCGAAAATTTGTGCGTAGTGAAATTTTACAAGATTCGTAGTTTAATAAAGTGATTAGTGATTGAAATAAATATGTGATTTTAAGCGTTAAATGTGTTTTTCAGGTGCGAGCTATGGCTGCATCACACATCTTGAGCGCAGTGGAGCCGAGCGTGGGCGGAAGCGCGCGCGGTGGCCGCGAGCGCGAAGTCGGCGTAGCGCTTGACGACCGCGACCTTTGGGTGCGCTTTCAAACCCTCACCAATGAGATGATCGTCACCAAAAACGGAAGGTACTTGCCTTATAACACCAGTATTCTATTATATTTTTTTTAAATATCTTGGAGGCTTAGCAAGAACCCAATTTTAGGTGTTGCGGGGCATAAAGGGATGTAAGTAAGTCGCCAACAAGATTAAAAAGCTCCATAAAATCAAATACACTGATATTATTTTCTTGTCTAACTAACGAGAGAATCATCCTCTCCTGTAAGTTAATGTTTTTCTATTATTTTGTTTGATGAGAGATAAATTCTTTGCGGCACCGTCAGATATGGAAAATGAGGTATAAATGTATATGTATTTATGTCCATTTCATTTGTTTGTAAGCTCCAATTAACTCAATTTAGCTCCGAGCCCCTCGGTGGGGACATATGGTGAGCTGATGATGATGACGATGAACGACTAAGCTGTTATTTGATGCGTATTGTCGTCCGGAGAGTCATAAGAATACAGTTAGTCGGCTCTACTTTCCTACAGAATTAAAAATTGGATAGATGAAATAGTATGTTAAATGATCAAATATTTTTTTTTTATCTCGCATTCCGTCTGTATACTTCCATAAAATGTAAGCAAACGATGTTTTTAAAGGGTAACATTAAAATAATAACAGTGTCGTTCGTATATTATTTTTAATAGTAAAACCGTTGTAAGTAGTACTTAAAAGTGAATACAATATTGAGTCATTATATGTTGGTCGTCTTATGGTGAGTCAGTGGTAATTTAAAAGAACAAGATACAACATTGAAGTGAGTACAATACCTCTTACAATATTGTTTATAGCCTGTGTCGCGTCGAGTACAAACTCATGAAACTTCGAACAAATCATCATCTATTGTATTTTATTACGAATTAAATATAAAGGTCAAATCTTTGTAATTAAAACAACGAGCTAAGTTGATGATGATTATTGTACTCACTTTCCTCCCTGCTGAGTTACTTTAATAATCTAAAGTGTTACGTAAGTTAATTATAATAGTTGATTTGACTAAATTAAAGTTTGCAAAACCAAAAAGACGTTACTACTTTAAAGTAGATATAATAACGTCGTATTGCTTTGCAAATTATGTTCCAACAACAGTTTTTTTTTAATTTGCGCTATCACGCCATATACATAAATGTTCATAAAAGCGTAACAGAAAGTTACATTCTGTCAAATTTGACAAACATGTATTTGATCGATTACCAGATACTTAATGTCTCCACGCATTACATTACAGTTAAATATTGACTTGAGATTAGTAAATATGTGTATATAATGAGTTATTGCAATATAATGTACATAAAAATAAAAAAAAATGACGAACGATATTTATATTCATGTTGCGCTTTGTATTGTTATCAAAGAACATAAATATGTAGTATATTTTTCGCTGGTGCTAATGGCGCGCGAACGGAGACTAGTTTTCAGCTATTAACACTGTAGGTCTTTCTGATTAACACGGCTTCACTAAACGACACCGCCCGATGAGCTGTGTGCCTAACACCCTTGAGAGTCAACGCGAGCACAAAGTATTGCTCGATCCCTTTAAAATATTATAAATTCTAATATTATAATTGCAATGAAAGGATGTTTTTAGATGATATATTTAAAATGCCTTCATGGATCTCCCTGAAATTTGTCATAGACGTAGAACATAGCTTAGAAGGCAACTTATTTTTTTTTAATTCCGCCCGGCGGAGTCACAGGCGTCAGCTAGTTTTCAATGAATATAGTAATGACATTTTCTGTACCTAGCGTCAAAAGGAACTAAATTAGTTTTAATCACAAACATACAGTATGTGTAATAATTTTATAGCTATTAATTTTAGAATTGTGATAACGAAGTTACTCTTTCTGCAATGTTTTATTTACTTTTCACTGTAAAGAAGGATAAGATATAGGATTGTCACAAAAAATAAATAAATATCGTGGTTAAGCCTGTGTGCAGAGCTGGTGATGTGAACATGACTGCTTAATTATATTGAGCGTCGAACAATGAGGCTTTACTGTGGCTTTTTAAACAAATACGTGCTTCAACACTTAATGTCCTTAGCGTTTCAAAAAATGATTCCTCCGTTTGTGCATCTGAAATAAAATTAAATTAAGATTAAAGTTGGGAATGCTATCTTAGTTTTCTGTATACGATTTTTTAAGTTATACCTAAGTAACGTGGTTATTTAAATATAACAACTTAACAATGGTACTTAAAAAGTAAAAACTTGGAAGTCATTTCATTCGCTTTATATTCAACTGATCTAAGGATTGCAATACCAATTGGAAACCTCTAAACGTTATTTAGAGTAAAACTATCTTCGGATCGCTAATACGCCGTGAGGCCATACTTGTTATAGGGTCCTAAAGATGGATAGATGAGCTCTTGCACTAAGTTTGATTGATTTAACATTATATTCGGTTATTTCAGACGTATGTTCCCTGTGGTCAAAGTGACGGCTAGTGGTCTGGATCCGACTGCGATGTACACGGTGCTACTAGAGTTTGTGCAAGTTGACTCACATCGATGGAAATACGTCAACGGGGAATGGGTAAGATAATAATGCTTGTATTATTCATTGCTTTCAGTTCACACAAGAACCGTTTGTTGTTTATTAATTGACCAACTAACCTAGTTCTACTCTTAAAGTACGTTGTTGTTTCTATTAAAGCAAACTTTTGACTTGACACAGTATATTTTTTGTTTAGGTACCCGGTGGAAAAGCAGAAGTCCCGCCCTCCAACGCCATCTATATTCATCCGGAGAGCCCAAACTTTGGAGCACATTGGATGAAGGAGCCAATTTCATTTGCTAAAGTCAAACTTACGAATAAAACTAACGGGAATGGACAGGTGAATATTACAGTAATATAAGCATGTATACACCCATAACTGAAAAGAGTCGTGTATGAGTTTGGATATATGAATGTTGAAGAAGAGATGAGGAATAGACCTTTTTCTTAATTAATAAATATTTGTGTGTTTTATACCTCCCTTTCGTTCGTTTGTCTATTTAAAATGAAACTTTGAGTTATAATTTTCATTGAATGAGAATACAAGGATACGTATAAAAGTAATTCATTGTTATAGGCTACTTGATTCGACATTTATGTAGCCGACTACCGGTCGAATTTAATTACTAATCAAGGTTCATAACAGCAAGATAAATGTATATTAAAATTTAATATTAACACACAATAGACAAGCTTGAGTATGGATAAAGATGAAAGCAACATATTGCAAATTGGGACAAGACGAGTTTTATAGCCAAATCATCAAGTAAAATATTAAAATTTAACAACGTATTAACGAGATAGATAGTTAAGAAACAATGATGGCCGTTTCATATTTATAGCCGGTCCATTGTGCGTGTACACTGGGCCGAGCATAATTAACAACCATCAGAACAGACAGAATACTAATTTTTGATAATAGAAAGTCGAAGGTGCGATCCCGCTACAGTTCCGTGGCTACCGCGAGCGAGTTCGTCCGAGTCATTTCTCACGCTTGTATATGTGCCGCGAATGAATATGAGAGTAAACATTAGATACATCCAGATCCATATGTTGACGTCTCGGTGTGAAATCTGTAGCTTTACCAACTATTTAGCGGGCGCCCGTACACACTATCATTTGTAATAATTATTGTCTCTGCGCTATGTTTAACCTTCTATCTTTTTATGATAATAGTTTCTTTATCTTTATTAACCAGATGTATTTATATTGCGATATCCGTGTTACGTTGCAACTTCAGGTTTTGTGGTAATATTGACTTTGATATTTTTTGTTAGGTTATAGTTTTGGTTACGAAAATGAAGGTTATCAAAACTTAATAAGATCGACTAATATTTGTATTAATACAAAACCTACACATATCTATCGTATGGTTATTTTTTTGTTTATCAAATCGTGTGATTTCCTACGGTGTTAAAATTCACAGCTTTGGTATGATCGATTATTTGATCGGTATATTAAGTCGAAATATTTATAGATAATTTATTTTTTCATAAAGTTAAAATATGTAAAGTAAAGTAAACATATTAAAATGTAATAAATTAAAAACAATATGACATTCCTCGTTGCTTATTGCAATTAATTCCGTTTTCTTTATTTGCATTAATTTTTAATCATAAGAGAAATTGTTAGCTGTTTCATTACAATCTAATAAATTCCTTTCTTCAAAGATAATGCTGAACTCACTACATAAGTATGAACCGCGGGTGCACCTGGTTAAAGTGGGTACGGACCTGCGCCGCATCATGACGTACCCGTTCCCAGAGACACAGTTTATAGCAGTGACAGCCTACCAGAACGAAGAAGTCACTTCCCTCAAGATAAAATACAACCCTTTCGCAAAAGCATTCCTAGACGCCAAAGAACGACCGGAGGGATACTATCAAAGAGACTTTGTTGGAACTCATTACCCACAGCAAAGTAACTCTCCGCACCAGTATCCACAATGTAAGTAAACGTAGAACTTTTATCTAGCTAAATTTGACAGTCGACAGTGGGCTTATATGGTCGTCGAGTTTAACAAGTCGCGCGGGCCACCTGTAGCGGCTAATACTGCAGTGGACTCTACCACTATTCAATTGGAATTGTTCTTGAAGATGTAATAAGGAAAATAATTAATTACAGTCGGAGGATGGTTCGTTACTTCTCAATCGTTGTATGGCAGCAGCAACACCGTGTCGAGAAGACCGGCCCCGTACCCACCGCGGCCACCTTCAAGGCCTAGGACTCTATCACCGCCGTGTAAGTAAAAACTTACTCGCCTAAAATAATCGTGATACAATTATTAGGTATTGTTCAATAAACTGTATTGTCAAGCTACACGTTATGTATTTAAAAATAAAGATAACGTAAATAAAATAAAATTGGCTCTATATTTAACATAACCTGATGAATAATAATGTCTACGTTTACACAGCTACGTACAGCAACGTGGAACGTTCATCTGCGGGTGCGTCTAACGGCAGCAGCAGCTACACGTGGGCGGGCAGTGGGTACTGGAGCGCGGCGCAGAGCAGCCCCCCGCAGCCCGCCTCGCCTACGCCTTACCGTACGCCGCCGCACGCCTACCCCGCGCCTCTCGAGTACTCGCCCGCCCCTGCGGCCTCGGCTACGCCGGCCGCGGCGCCTGCTCCGCTCTACCCCCTCCAGTACGATGCCCCCGCGCAGCACCACTCGCCGTACTATCAACACGCATACGCCCCGTACGCTCATCACGCTATAGAAGACATTTCTTATTGGCCAAACAGGTAAATATTTTTATGTCGCGTCATCGTTTCATCTGAGATGAGATCTGTGGCTACATTGTGCAAGTTGAATAACCCATTGTAGTGCTTAGTTTAGACCATAATAACAAATGAAAATCATGTCCGAAGATGTAAATTAAAGTGAATGATAATGTTGTTCATAAATGGTTGTGTATGATTTCAGCTTGAACACGTACGGCTATCAACCTTCGGAATACGTTGGCACTGGGGAAGTGGCTTATGGTACTGACGGTATGTCCTTTGGTCCCAGCGGTCCTACACTAGAAGCGACTACTGGGGAAGGTCGCAACACACCATCTGGCTCTGAACATCAATCCGGAGAAAGGGAGTACAAATTCAGTACGGAAGAAGAACGTCATTCTCCGTGTGAGGAATCGGCCTTACCACCACGATCACCAACGCAGTGACAACTAAAGTTTTATGTGTGTTTAGGAATACCTTATGTTAATAGACCGATTAAAACACCAATTTTTATGGATGCTAATTTTAATTTAATTACGTTACTTAGTTAATTTTTGCAAATATAAAGGTAGGCAGTAATATTTTTATTTTATTTTAATAGGAATTACTAGTTGACCAGTTGATATAGTAACAAAGGCGTCGCCAGCCGATGACCTAGGCTAGATCTAGGTGGGGGCTAGTATTTAAAATTCTATTTTCTATTCACGAAAATTGACAAGTTTTTTCGCTTTATCTACGAGTATGTAGATATTTGGGGGCTTGTAAGCACCTTATGGCATTTGCAAGTAGTTTATGTATCTTTTTTACATTTTTTCGATTCTGTAAGGGGTTGCTGCCACTCACTGCCTCCCCTTGGCGACGCCTATGTATGGTAATTGTATTGATAATACTCGTATATGTATATATGATTTCATTTGAAAAACTAGGAATTACATGTTATTTAAGATTCCCGAAGTACGGATGTTGTTGCCGAAACATCGTGCTGATTTTGTTTTTTTAACTTCATATTAAAATCGTAAATCGCCGTAGCAATTTAAAAAGCCTAAACTATCGTTTGAAAGGTAATCGACAAATTTGTGTAACACTTCTCATAAAATGTACAGAAAAAAATTCGGATTTAAAATTCCGCCATTACGCAACAACATCGAATGGCTAGCCAGCATAGGTTACCATAGAATTAATTAGTAGATGTTATAAAAATGGTGCTATAATATTGGCACGTCCAAGAGTCCTTTACCTCAACTACTACTCAACTAATTAGGATTAATAATGAAAAACATTAATAGGTTATTATGTTGTACGTATACTTCTGCTAGATTTTCAAATTTAGCCTTAAAGTTGACCACAGTTCGACTATTATAATAATAGTATAATTAAAAATGCAAATAGAAGAATATGTTAAGATCCTGCTTTTTCTTTATATTTACTATGATATATATTCAACATTTTCAGAATAAGTTATAATATGGGTTTGATTTAGAATATCTGTAAAAAGCTTGAATGTCAACCTTTATTTTTATGTAAATACAAAAATCCTTATACTTGTACTTGTAAAATAGATTTGATTACAATTTTTAGGATTTACATATTTTATTCTATTATACATTTTTGACAATAAATAAATGTTTCTGTTAATTTCATTTTTATTTAATTTGTACTCCTTATATAGTATAAAAAAATTAATCTTATTTAATCATTGCATATGGAAATAAAAATACGTTAGTACGTTACCTGCCGGTATTGACCACACCACATTAGTCATGGGTAACTCGACTAAAATTGATGATTTGTAGATCAGCTTACGGTTTACATGTGATTAGTGGACCTGCTCGCAGTTCAGCTCAGTTTGTACCTGCATAGAGTTATGATTTGTGTTGGGTCTCCAGGCAGATCGCTGCGCGTCGGCTTACATAGATGTAGTACATCACAATGAGCTGTCCATTTAGCTATTGAGCTGCAACTCAACATTTCAAGTCTATGTGATCGGAACATTTGAACAGGTTCAGAGCTGACTTACATACGTCTAGAACAGATAAGCACGATCTGTGGAAGTGAGAGGGGTGGTCATTGGCAAGCCTGCGCACGACGCGCGGCTAATATTGATCTACCTGCTATGAGTCTGTGTTCTGTGTTTGTGTACTGTACTTGTCTTTTCTATGTTTTTGATTTACTTCGTCGTAAATAACAATTAAAGTGAGTTATAAAATTATAAACAAAGATATAATTGCTGAAAACGGGAGGCACTTGGTAAATTTTATGTTTAAGTTTTTACTTAATTTTTGTAACATTTCAGATTTTATAATGTTTTGCTATGCGAAAATTCTACACAACTTATGTATTTTTTCATTTTCTATAAAATTTAAATATGGGTAAATGAAGTGTTTTTATCTATCCAACAAATTTAGAAAATATGCGCAATATTGGGAAATAATTGATGTACTCTATGATATGTGCTGAGCAAATTAATCCATACCGATACAATTGTTGTATTTGGTCATTATTTTATGAGTAGATTTATTTAATTTTTTTTCAGCTGCCGCTGCAAATGAACTAGCCAGTACAATTAAAAAGAACAACAAAACATTGCTTTACAATGCGTGATTCGCGAGAAGAAACTAAAAAAAAGTTCGTCAGTTATTGTGCTCAAACTCTAGAACATGCATGTTTTTGCCGCAAAATTAATTGCCTAGATGAATGTCTTAAAATGAGAAAAACGATTATCCATATACGGCACTGTAAGAAAAATTTTGTTACTAGAAAATGCCGCACATGCAAAGAGATTTTGTTTTACTGCTTTTTGCATGCTTTTGAATGTAAAACAAAAGATTGCAAGGTTTTATTTTGTGTTCACATAAAAAGTAAATGTAATCCACAAAGAGCTGTAATGCAATATTTTTTGTAATTTATTTATATCTATCATTTCATTACAAAATCTTTAAAAATAAGCTCTCACAACACTTAGATATATTTTTATTTATAATTATTGTAATATATTGCTCTCTTACTTGTTTCCAGTGGCAGAAAAATTGCTTTGCACCTTACAACAAACTTTATCTTTACAAATATACAAAAGGTACTGTCAACATTTTGATCAAATAATACCTGCTCTGTGCTCGCTTTGCATTGAACATTGAGTTAGAAGCTTAAAAAAATAGGAATTATTTGTCTCTACCAACAAAAATAATTTATGAATTTTCAAATGTAGATTGTGTCAATATTGTTATTATCTTTAATTGTGAGGGCTTATTTTTGTGTTATCCATTGGGTTGATTGGTCTATTGATCAATGGCCCAATGGGAATTTCTTCCCAATGACCCTATTAATTCTATGGGTTTAATCAACCAAATGGGAAATATAAACTTATTTCTACATAAGTTGAGTACAATTACCTAACAATTTCAGTGCCAATGACTTGCCTAGCGAGTCCACTTCAAATAAAAAAAATACAGTGGCACCGAATTTGTAAATGAATCTCTATGTAAAATTCCATAATATATTTAGATAAATATCAAAACTATGTCAGTGTGTTCCGAGTGTATCTATAATTGGTACATTAATCCGCTCTCTTCTTGTCTCTTTCAAGAATGGTTATTGTGAATTATCTCTTTGTTCGTTGTAAACAAGTTGAAAATCTTTTGTTTGTAATGAATAAGTATAACTCTGAACCATATTGTTGTCGTATAAAACTTTTAATTTAAATAACAATGTCTGATGTTTATGTTATTAAAATACTATTGTAATAAATGTTGTTGAAATGATATGTTTAATTTTATTTAAACATTTGGAATTCTAATGAAAACATCCCCTTGTTTGCTATTAAAAAAATTGGGTACTGAAATGTCCTTAAAGTAAATCCAAAAAGAAATAAAATAATTTAATACAATTATACTTTGACATCATTTTTTTAAACATCATAACTCTAATTAAACCTATAGTCAAACTAAATTTTGAGACGTCACTAGCGCCCCTACCAACGGTAAAAAAATATCTCGAGTTCCTTTGTCTATACCGTAGCTGTACTGTCATTTCTTTCTTTTAGTCGTTTTATATGCATATTTAATGCGACAGCAACACCTCTCTAACCGGATCAGGTATTTTTATTTAATACTACTGAATAAAACAGATCCATAAGGATCTTATGGCATTCGGAAAAAATGTAAACTAACAATGTTATCTTGACAGCACTAACGTCATAAATTGCATATAACAAAGAGTATAGTAAATACACTATGGCCTATAGCAAGGGAGCGGCAACTGCACAATTTTTGCGCTTTCATATATCATTTTTTTTCCAAATTCCATAAAAATCACGCATGATGATTTCGCATTGCTAATGTGTTTGAAATCAATTGAAATTAAGGAATTACGACGAGATCAAGTTGCTAACCAATTACTTGGAGTTGCAACATGGACTACTTTTGGAAGTTAATAATTTTTTCTTACTGGTAACCCATCACACTTATTTTCGGCTGTCTGTCAATGTCAAAACAACTGTTATCAATCCGTTGAAAACTTAGTGAAGTTTCAAAGCTCAATGTGAATTGCCAACGAAATCGAATTATAAAATTGTAGTTGAACTGCTTTAAAATGTTGAAATATTACTAATTACTAATATTATAAATGCGAATGTTTGGATGTTTGACAGAAGGTATCTCTAAAACGGTTGTCTGGAACTCGCTTAAATTTGTCATATATGTAGAACATAGCCTGGAAGAACACAGGCTACTAATTAATTTTATTTTAATCTCGCTCGCGGGCGCAGCTAATATTTTATTTTTTTACTTATTCACTCGACGTTATATATGATCTCTGAAGTATTTTAACAACGTTATATTACTTATTAAAACTATATTTCTCTATATGGGCCAAAAATATTCATAGAAGCCAATTAAAAAAAACAACCACATATTTGATTTAGTAATCATGGATAAAGACGAAACAGTCTCTGTATCAAAGGTAATATATTATTACTAATAATATTGTTGAATAAGTTGTAAATTTGAACAACTTAGTCTCAAATTTGAAAGCATCTTACAGGGCGTATTTTTATTCAAAAATGGATTCAAGAAAAGTTTAAAAGCTAAACACAAAAATAAAGCATGGGTTCAATCTCGGTTTAGAAGACAGCCTTGGTACGACTGTTTCCAACAGAACTGGGATTTGTTTGAAGTTCATATAAAGGTAATATAATCCAAATTTTGACACACAAAAAATTCATCCAGAATTCATAATATACCTCGTAATCTTACTAATTTAAAAAAACAATGTAACAAATCAAATTCAGGTCATTAATTATTCATAGTTTTTCATTATTTATTACTTTTGAAATAGATGTTCTGCCCATTATTCAATTTAAATTTAACATGTTCCTTGTTTCTATGATTTTATTGAATGAAAGTGAACTCGGCAGATCAATTAGTGATACAGTGTAGTATTTATTTTGATTGTCATTAGCATGTTGCACAGCGCCCTCCCCATGATATGCCTGCTACACCTAAAATTATAATTTGTAAAGTTATTATTATAAATATTATAAAAACATTTATATGTTAGTGGATTAATTATTAATTTTGAAGAACATCTTATCACCATTACTGATTTTCATGTTCTTTGTTTCAGGAATTACATCATCAAACATATAGTACATTACTGAATGATATCGTCAATTACATAGAGTTTCATCACATGAATAATGATTTAGGATCAATAGAAGGAGTTATTCCTACTGCAACACTAATAACTGGAGTTAATCAACCAGACCATGTCTCTCAGTTTAATGCACTAATTAATATAATAAGGTATTTTTCAATAAATAGTTATATATATTGTGAACTAATCCACTGTTAGCAAGGATATATGACTAAGGCTTACTGACCTCTAACTTATGGTAGGCTGGAATCCCTCTCTGGGGAGAGTAGCGGATATGTAGGGCACTGCTTCATGAGACTTAATCAATTTATTTCTGTATATCTAAATTAAATTATTAAAATACTAAATCTTACTAATATTATAAATGCAAATGTTTACATACATGGATAGACGAATGTTTGTTACAAGGTTTTCCAGAATGGTTCAACAAATCACTATGAAATTTAGCATATATTTAGAATATATTGTAGAAGAATGCACAGGCTACTTATTTTTTTTAATTCCGTTTGAATGAAGCTGCGACCAAAGCTAAAAAGAGCTGAAATATGTGTTTCAGAGAAAATGTAACACCACACATTGCTATGACTAATTCACAAGATGGGTCAACAATCAAGTTACTTGTGGAAAATGTTGTTTGGCAATTGATACATGGACAAGGCATGTTGGTTAGTTTTAGTATTTATTTACTATATACTATTAATATCATTTCACTTTTAATACCAAATAATAGATTTTAATTTGATCTCTTGAAATTTTTGAACTCTTGTGTCGGAAGCCAAGACCCACCTTGGGTCGATGCGCCAGCGGAGTAAGTAAGATTTTAATTTGATGTATTAAAATTAAGTTTTGTAATTTCAGGATAATTCAGAGAATGAGAATTTTGATGAAAGTATGGAATATAAAGTGCCAAAGTTAAAGAAAAATCAGTGTACAATGAAATCTTTGTACAATTGGTATCAAAATGCATGTGTTAATTCACCGAGTAAGAAAAAAAAAGTCAACACAAAAAGACCACTTATTATTATCATACCTGACTTTGAGAGTTTTCATTGTAATGTTTTGCAAGATTTTGTTATGATTGTTAGGTAAGTTGATAGCTTTATTTGGAATTAGGTTTATTTTTCAACATAGGCAGGATAATATGCTTTATTGTTTATCTTTACTTTGTGAGAAAAAAATTATATGTTTTGTTTGTTTGTTTCTTTTTTTAAGTTTTTAGTTAATTAGGTTTGATTTATTTTTGTTTAATTTCTTTTTTTAATTTTAGTTCGTATATAGCTAAACTTCCTATAGTCCTAGTTTTTGGAGTAGCAACATCTGTTTCTGCTTTACATAAGTCGTTTCCATATCATGTATCTTCAAAATTACTCATGAAGGTTTTCCACTCTCATTCATCACCAGTTTATATGAATCAAGTAAGAATTTTAAGCAATTTAAATATTATTAATTAAAAATACTAAATCAAATGGTAAAATGGTTTTAAATAAATTTTCAGGTATTAGAAAACATCTTCCTCACGCACACCAGCCCATTCCATCTCTCTGGAAAAGCGTTTGAATTGTTAACGGATGTGTTCCTATTTTATGATTTCTCAGTTGCTGGACTTTTACAAAGTATAAAGGTTAGTTTTTAACTTGGACTTATCATAGGTTTCTGAAACCAAAACACAAATAATGTTGTTTTGTCTTTATCTAAAGATAAATTGACAGGGATGATGATACGTTTTATACAGACATTTTGGTCCCAGAAACCAATGGTTAATTAACTTATTTTTTTATCTTTTTTCATAGCTAAAGTATTCAACTACTGTATCTTTATTTGCTTATTTCAGTATTGTATGATGGATCACTACTACGGAGACAATATTAAGACACTTTGTTGTGCCCAACAAGACATAGATGGCGCTGTCTCGGCTTTGTCATCTCACGATTTGGAAAGTGTCAGACAATTGCTTTCTTTCAGACCGTACCTAGAAAAACAAAGTTGCAAAATAAAAATTAAATTATTCGAAGATGATGACTTCTTCAGAGAAACTTTATGCAAAAAAATGCAAGAACTTCACGATTATTTATTTAGTTTTTATTCATGTATTAGATTATTGTTCGTCTTTATAAAAGATTTACCAAAGAATATTTTAGGAAAGTCTGTAAGTACTTTTTACTATTTAATTCTATCTTAAAAGTACCGTGACACTGAAAATAAAACAACAGCTTTATTCAATCTTTATTTTAATTATTTTATTTCAGGTTCGTGAAATTTATTCAAAGTGCGCTGTCGAAAATATAACCAGCACTCAAGTTTTTCGTGAATGTATGCAATTAATAAATTTTCAATCACAATATAAATTAGTGGACAGTATAAAAGATGCATTGAAATCAGTGAATACTTCTTTACAAATTACATCGCCGATTAAACCACTTCGATCAACGCCAGTTAAAAACAATCAGAATGATATGCCAATAAATACTATCGGTGAATCGTTAATGAAAACAATAAGGATACATTTAATGATGTTTTTAAGACAAATAGAAAGTGCTAACAATCAAACTACATTGTTAACTGATGGTGATGAAGATGTAGACATTAAGCCAGAGGCGGTACCAGGTGACAGATATAAATTAAAAGAGGTATGTAACTCACAGTAAAAAAGTATTTATTTTTTATATTATAAGGTGACAAATGAGCATGGGGCCATGTTTATTCGCTGAAATGACGTAACGACCGTTGCCCGTATATATCCAAAATTGCAGATTCGTTGCCTATCTTCAATCGACACAGGAGGGGACACAATATTATATCCCCTTTCTATGAGCCACCTCCTTTGTCAAATCCTTATTCTTTCCTCATGAAATGGTGGTGTCTCCAGCTTTCTCCTGTCTTCTGTTTAATATTGAACCGGGACCCCTTGATGATTTGTTGCTGGAGTCTAACACTGGAAAAACAATTTTTATTGTACATTGTCATGAACATTTAATATTTTGCTTTATTATAACTTTTTATTTACTCATATTTTTACAACTTCCTCGTGTCTCCTTAGAAGCTACTTCGAGCAACGAGAGTGGAACGTGTGCAGTCAGAATATGAAATGATAAGGTCTAGGTTTGTGAGTTACTTGGAGGAGATGTTCGCTAAAGCATTGCAACCGCCGCACACGCAGACGTTCCACGAGATTTTGTTCTTCAGCGATGTCAGCAATGTAAAGAAGCAGATCGTTGGCTCTCCCAGAGGAGCCATACACACCGCGTTGAGCAACCCTGTTTCTTATTTACAAGTGGGTGTTCTTACTAATATTATAAATGCGAATGTTTGGATAAATGGATGTTTGTTAGAAGGTATCTTTAGAAAGGCTGAATGGATCACTCTGGAATTTAGCATAGATGTAGCATATAGTCCGGATGAAGACATAGGCAACCTATTAAGGCTTTTTTTTATCTCCCTTGATGGAGAGCAACAGCTAGTAATAGTATAAGGAGTAGGATTTTAATGTATTTGGGTTTGATAGTAAATAAATTAATGATCGCAGTGTAAATGCTGTATCCTGCCGTCACCGGAGAGCGTGTCTGATACATTACCCGACGTGTCTCTGACATACAAGCTGCATAGAGAGTGCGGCAAACACATCAACCTGTACGACTGGCTGCAGGCCTTTGCGGCTATAGTTAACCCAACTGAAGATGACCAAGCGCATCAAGACCCTATTGTACAGTGAGTATTTCAATATAGATTTTTTTTATTTCAAATGTGTAGAATATTCATAACAGTTCTTTGTTACCTGTACGGTTTTTTTAATGCGTAAATAATAGGAAGAATTAATTAAAATATTTAACTTATTCTAGTATTATTGTTTAGTATATATGTTGTCTTGACGCTATTCATTTAAATCGAAACAAAAGTTAGTTTTTTGAAACTATTCCTTTGCATTATTTTTGTATCTTCCTTCTCTTTTTCTCCTTACTATCAATTTTTACTCTGGTGTGAACTAAAACGTGACGTCATATTACTGTCGATTCTAGGCCAATTATTGTTTGTAAGATTTTCTTTTGAAATTTCTTTATCGTTCTTTATTGTACAATATTGAGGAGCAGTATTGGTTATGTGTATTTCCAATTGTCAGAGATGTTTAAAATATATTTTTACACATCAGCTACTTTTTGCTTCTCAAAGCGATATAGGTAGAATGATCGAGAACGTGGGATCGGCGGTGTTTACAATTTAGGCTAACAAAAAATTGTAAGCAAATCTCAGAATTGTAGTTTGAGCTACTTTTTATAGAAATATTTTTTTTAATATCTATCCGGGTTCGAATCTCTGTTAGAGCAATATTTGATTTGCAACATGAACTATTGCCAAGTGGATAGCGGCCATGACACTTCGCGCGTCTGCTTTATGCGTACTACTTTTTATTTGCTAATTGTTACTTGCGATGTTTGCAAGGATAAGTGAATGCAAATTTCTTATAATTTATTCTATAATAATTATACAAAGTTATGCTGTAATTAACATTGCCTACGCCTATTGCCTTTAAATTACGTGTATTTGACTTACAACATTCGTTAATTTTTGTTATCTTGTAATTGTTACTTTGCACTCTTGTAACACTTGAATGAATATCACTAAGCAATGAGTTATTAAACCCTTTTAATATTTTCTTTATTCTAGGTCTAGATTTAGCCGCGCCGTAGCTGAGCTTCAATTCCTAGGATTCATAAAGTCGTCTAAAAGAAAGACTGATCACGTAATGCGTTTGACTTGGTAAAGTACAATAAAATGGTTTCAATATGTGTTTTTAATGTGTTCAAAATAAATGAATAATTGTATTTGTTGTTCTTATTGCTTCCTTTTCTTAACAAGAATGTTTCTCTCTTGCAATTTGCGTATCGACACAAATAGGTGCCATGGTACTTACAGATTTACTTAGAAGCGTAGTTTAAAAATAAATATTTTATTTGGTATGCGGTCAACTTGATTTAGCTGTATTAGAATTCATTACGCAGTAAAGATTATGATAAGTATGTATGATGGGTTTGCCCAATACTAACTGCTTCTATGTTCTAGGGTTGTTGTGTCCAATTATAAGAAATCGTGACTTGTTTTTTGACAGCGTAGTAATTTTCTTTTGATGATGTTTTGGGGATTTACCGTTGGTGCCTGATATCGCTAGGTTGAATTTTGAGAAAACAACAAATTTAAAAACAATGATAATCTATTCAGTTTGTCTTTTAAAAGTAAAAAAAAACATTGTGGCCGACTTTTATTGAAAAATTCAGATAGCGTTCCTGTCTCTCAAAGGACGGCAGTGTTTTCTCTGGTGTTGCGGACGTCCATAGGCGTCGGTCACTTTTTTCAATAAGGGTCGCACTGCTCCTTCGCCCACTGTTCATATAAAAACATTATTTCTTGGTAAAAAAAAAAACGTTTATCGTAGGAGTTGGTACTAACATCCAACTCAAGACTATGTCCTTGTATTTCTTGAGTTAAAAAAAAATATCGATGCCAGTGTTTGTTCAAGAATTTGCATAATACAACATTACTATTACGAAGAAGGACAAGTGCAAAACTTGTGTCCGCATGAAAAATAAACCAAATGAATACCGAGGTAGACGTCGTAATAATAAAAGGTCATATTGATTTCAAATGACCGTTGACCGTTGAAAAAACCAATGATGGGGAACTATAATTTTAAAAGCTAATAATATTTTATTTTATAAAATTATCTTAGTATATTTTTAAACTTAGTTGGGAAATAAACCTGCTTGATTCTTGTCTTGAAATTAACCATAAATTTAGACTAACTGTAGAAACTAACAAAGGTTTACACAAGTCGAACAGCTTGCTAAAAAAATATTAAGAAAAATACTAATTTTAATTTGTATAACTCAACCTTAACGATTATTCTATATTATTTAACACTAATGGTCGCCCGCGTCCCCGTTCGCTCGGAATAAAAAAAAAAGCAAAATTAGTAGCTATGTGTTCCAGACTATGGTCTTTATGTATGTCAAATTTCATCGATATCCGTTCAGCCGTTCTGGAGATACCTTCGAACAAACATCCATCCATCCATCCATCTAAACATTCGCAATTATTATGTTAGTAAGATGTATCTTTATTCTTTCTTCCGATTAAAAGTATGGAAATAAGTGATCAATTAAGTGTTTAATTTTTAATGTTCACAATTTTCTTATTAAATCAGGCGCCGGTGATCGAACTTGAATTATTTGACTCGTATGATCTTTAAGGTTAGTGAGGTGGACTGGATTTTACGAGTATCGAACACTTGTAAAAAGTTCACGATGTTTTTGATGCAAAGGTTTATATAAAATAATTATTAAAACAGCATTTGCATAAGGTTAAATAATAAATAAGCGTGGGTTTTTTTATGTTGATTTATTCTAAAACTTATTAAATTAATTCAGGTACTTTGTATTGACTCATTATTTCAAATATTTATTAAGTAATAATGAGATTCTTCAATTCTAGATAAAATTATTTTATGTCCTGTTAAATAATCATCAAAAAGCAGTCTTGTTTGAATAATATTTGATGTTTAAAGGCACCAAATGAGTAATATTGAGTTATTGATTATATGCTTATTTGATTTATCATAAACCTTCACGTCTAATTAGTATGGAACCCTCAAATTACACAGGGTGTGGCGCAAAGTCAAACCGACCTTGAATTATAATTTCTCGAAATAAAGAATGGGTCGACCTATGGAAAGGTTAAAACATATCGCTTTTATTTGCATCTAGCGGAGAGACGCGAGACAAGTTTTTTTTTCTAACGTCTTTAATTAACAGGTAGATGTAGCTTACTGATAATTACCTACGTTTCTTTTATCTTACTAATAATTTAAATGCGAATGTTTGGTTGGATTAATAGATGTTTGCTAGAAAGTATCTCCAGAACGGCTGCATGGGTCTTGCTAAGATTTCGCATATATGTAGAACATAGTCTAGAACAGACAGGTTATTTATTATTTTTTTATTTTCTTTCGCGCAGTCGGAGTTGCGGGCGACAGCTAGTTATATAAATTTTTTTTTTTTTAATTTTACGTATTCGACCTTTGCAAGTTTATTTTTTTTTCATGTTTTTTCTGCTATCATATTTCTTTTATCATATTTTCTATTAAATTAAGATATGTGCCTTGTGGTATGAATAAAACAGAAATTGAAAAACATTTCCATGCATTTGTACAAAAAGATATATCAATCTGTAATGTTTTGTTATTTTGTTTTTTAATATTTACTTTGAACATATGTGCAATAATGCGTACAAGAATTACTTAGATATATAATATAGTATATTATATCTATTCTCGATATGCATATTAACTATTGAAATCGAATGATTTGATTTGAATCGATTAATAAACAAGATCATAAGCCAATAATTATCATATACCTCTATTGTATTAATATAAGAACAAACTGTCTGAAAATACTACAAAATCTTTAAATAATACATAGCTCCAAATAATCTACATTTTAACCTAATTTTTCATATATTTCATTATTTTCATACATTTGGTACATTCGTATCTATTATTATTTCTGTTTTGTCAAAGATAATGAAAGGGATGACGATATGTTTTGGGCAGAGATTTTAGTCTCAGAAACCACGGTAAGTTAACTACAAAAAAAAATATTGAAATTGTTCGTAAGGCGTACAAAACAATCGCCTATCGTGACTTATTAAACAATTGTAATTTAATACACACGAATTTCATTAAACTAAAAACACTCGTTATTTTTATTGTAGCTTATTACTTATTTTTATTTTTTAAATAACTTCACTTACCATCTATTACCTCAGCCTTGAATTCACTCCAAGTAGATATTTTTGAATCTAACGTTTCCGAATTTTTCTTGCATCATTGTAGATATAGAAATTATGCAATGAATGTAGATATACTACTTCTCAACTCTGCTCACCCCTATTGAAAATTAAAATCATACATAATATTGATGTGTTACAGTTAGGGAACGTTATTTCCTACCCAGTTCAATTAATACATTTAGTAAAACTTCTAATAGCAACACACATAGTACACCTATTATTTAGAAATCTTAAGTGGGGAGCAAATTTAATTCCTTGACTGGACGCGTATCAAAATTATATTGTAATGCACAGAATAAATTCATTATGATCAAGTATAACATGAAAAAAATATAACTTCTTGTCGCTGCGGCTAGTAAAGTTCATTTCAAATATTTATACTTTGAGTTTCGTATACAACGAATTAATTTGTGACATTCATAAAATTTGTATGCGCTATTTGAAACAATGATACAAGCTTAATGTATTTAAATTTATGTACCTGTTGTAAAGTCAAGCGCATCTGCACATATTTATAGATATTTGTTGGTAAGTATTTAATTTAAAATAAGATGAGCATTACGCATTTTAATGCGACATACAGCATATATTTATACAAAATTGGTTCTTATTGCGTATAATGGTCGTAGAGCTATACTAATAATAAAATTAGATTGTCTGCATGTAATATCGAAAAAATGTACATATTTCGCGGACCTTATATATTAAATTTTCCTCTGTGTGCTTGTCTGTCCGCAAGACCACGTTAATTCCCTGTAATCTCCAGAATGACTGGACTGATTTTGACAGGATTTATTAGAATTTACTTTAGGCGTGGGGGAGTAAGTTACATTACCTTTTTTAATTATATTGCCCTGACGAAGTCACGGGCGAACGCTAGTAAGTTAATTCATTCATTAAATTCAGTCTTATTCATAAATGAGGGAGCCAACTTGGTGTTCAAGTCATATTGGTGTTCTTGAACATGACAACGTTTACATCGTAATTAGTAAGAGATACTTACAAAAATTTCAACGTGTATAACAAGCGAGTGAGCGCATCGTATTCTCTCGTAAGTCTCCTGTTATTGTGTGTGTATAGAACATATTGTACGCAATAAAATGTCAACACTGATTTGGACCTTGGCGCAAATAAGCCTCAGTTATTAACAGCAGCAGACATTTATAATTAGGCATCCCAACTTCTTCATATAGATCAGTGGTTCCCAAACTTATTTTGTCTACTGCCCACTTTGAGAATAAATATTTTTTAGCGCCCCCATATTTTCACATATTTTAAAACCACTATAACTTCAAATTAAATTAATTAATTAATTATTGTGACCTATATATGTATATTAATTCTAAACGAAACTTTTACTATGACCCGCAACTTGAGACCTGCAGCGCCCACAAGGGGGCGTCATATCCCACTTTGGGAAAGACTGATATAGATCATTTAGTTGTAGAACCTTGATATATTTATTATTTTAAATGAGAGCAATTAACATCGATCATAAAACAATATAAAAGTTGTTTATGCAATTAAATATCAATGATGAGATTATTATGTCCACTATTAGCATAGTTCATGAGTTTAACAACCATTTAGATTTTTTTTACTCTTAAATTATTCTCCTAAATTTTTTATTTCCCGCCAGTTTCTAGTTTATATTACAATACTCACCTAAAAGGTACACTTTGTTATTGTCAGACAGGTAAAGCTTAAACATTAATTATTAACTACTTTTAAAATTATTGACAAAATATATTAATTAGGATACGGCCAGTGCTGGTAAAATTTACATAATTTAAATTTTATAGCAATAAATTCCTTGTCATATTTTGAATTGATTAAAAAAGTGCAATCATATATTTTATCTAGTTTTGTACTCCAATGGGCTTGATTAATTTATAAAATCGATTTGCATAAACCAGTTTTAGAACACGTGAATTGTTTAAAACCTATCGAAAACG